GTTCTCCTTTCAATTCGATCACCTTTGTCGTTCATTCATCATTTCTTGTGTCGTTATGTACCACGTCATTTCTGATACTTGCAACTTCCAGTACACTGTTCCAGCATGCCTGCGTCTTATCGAACATCTACACATCGTCGAAATCCTTCGCGATGTAGAGGACGAACGACAGCGGCTTCTTTTAGAACTTCGTATCATCGCGGAGCTCCAGTCCCAGAGCGAGCCCGTCACGGTTGACCAAGCTGCCTTGACTAACGGATCGAATGGCCCTAATCATAACTCTGTCAAGGGCCTTGCGTCATGCTCAAGCCTTACTCGGGGTACGTGCCTTATTTTCCTCCCTTGGTCGCATGGTGTACTGATCGCCGTCTCTGTGATTCAATTTCGATTTTTCTATGCATCACTTGCCCCTGTGATTTCATATCGCCCTTCTCCCGCGCCTGTCATACCTGTCACGTGATAAAATTGACCAGACGCACCGACAAAGGCGGAGGAAAAGGCACTCCATCTGGAGGGTGTACATGTCAAAGACATCTCACGCATCATCACCGAACGCATGGGCGGCCTTCGTTGCGTGGATTCCGTTCGCTTAGGTAGGTCTGTTCTTCAGTCGTTCGATGTTAAGTGTCGTCTGGCTATTCGGATGTTCTGAGCTTCTGAACTCTTTGTTACTTCAAATTCGTGCCGCCCCTTCATTTTACTCACTGGTCAAGCGAATCGGCTAACAACTCCTCGGCCTTAGCCCACCCCCTGCGCTTGCTTTCAACGCATCACATTCTGCGTGAAACAGCTCCAGATACTTTCGCACTAACGCGTGTCGCAAGCCTGCTCGATAGCGGCAAGAGCGTGGCAGATGTCTTTGCAAAGTATGTTGTCGAGTTCTATTCTGTTCCCTCGCCTGTGCCACAAATTTACATCCATCAATAGTCCTGAAAAAAAATATGAAGACACCTCTGGCATCGCTGCTTTCGTCGGATTATGGTGCGTTTTTCTTTTGTATAACTGGAAATGTAGGTTTCTAAAGTGAAGATGCGCAGCACTGATGAACTGTTCAAGACAGCTGCATACCTAACGGAGGCGTTTACAGGTGTTCAACTTCCTTTAGCTCCTCCAGGGAGCGCTCCCACAAGGTCTGCAGATGGCAATGAAGTGCATATATCCGCTCTCAGTACCCAAAATACACTGGACAATGCAAATATATCCGGCTTTCCGGCTGATGAGGCGCATATATGCAGCCCTCTAGTACAACCTCAGCCTTTACGCGCCCAATCGTTCACTAGCCTCCATTCAGGGCATCCGACTACTACTTTGTCTACGCAGACACATCCCCATCTCTTAGAAGCTTCGACGCTCACACATGCGCTCAATACAGTGGCAGAATCAACCATGTCTCCTCGTTTATGGGATGCAACCATGCCTGCGCCCATCGCTGGACCACCTTTGGACCTCGGCTCCGGTATTCTGTCTCCCAAACGCGACACAACGCGACACACAGAAGCTTCGTCTATAAGAACAGCTTTCAAACTTCCCCCGCCAGCCCCGCACCCTTCACCGCTACACAACACGATCTACAGCAAAAGCGACGTTCCGAACACCCCTTCTGCGCTCCTTGTCAAATGCGCGTCTTTAGTGTCAACGCTTACGCTTGCATCTACGAATTCGGCTGTGGTATCTGAAGGAAGGCCACTGAGTAGTAATGTGGGCTTGTGTACTGACTCGGATAGAAGGAGCGCTGAGTCGGGACTTGATCCTGAGCCCCTTCCAGCATTCAATCTCGCGTTCAACACGCCTGTTCCATTTTTCGAGTGGTTAGAGGACGGTGGATTGGATGCACTGGGTAGGAACGGCGGTGGTGCAGGATGTTTACCAGCAAGGGTTGTTGGGAATATCGTGTCGGCTGAAGATGAGGGTGCACAGCCTCACACCGGACATGTGAGGAATATAAGCACATTATCTGCACGCAGCGGTCGCGAACCGGGTAAGTCTTTCCGCCTTGAGCGCTTCTCGCAGGCGATGATTGGTACGAGTGGGTGGGAGGCTCCTGGAGCTATTCTAACTGGTATGTCGCTGTTCATTTTACCTGTACGTTTGTACAGTCGCGTAATTCTGACACTTGTGGCTCCAGCTTTCGACTGGCTTTCCCTCCCACGAGGTTCGACGATAGTAGACGTTGGAGGGGGAATCGGAAGCACGACGATGATCCTTGCACGGGCGTTTGGAGGGAGCCCCAGACGGCGGGAAAGTGTGAGCAGTGACGAAGCTGAAGTTACCGTAGAAAACAACAGCTTCGTCCCCCAACGGTCTTGCAACGACTCGACTCCGCATAAATCACGGAGTAATCTCAAGTCCTTTGCCTCGCGAGGCGATCTCAAGTCGCATACCTCTCGCGCCGATCTCAAGTCTACCAATCTCAAATCTGCACATTCTCATGCTGATTTGAGGATTCAGTCCTCTCAGGGCGAGCTCAGTGCGCGACAGCCAACAGTCCCTTCTTGCGAGGACCAGGACATGCAGTTCCGCTTCATTGTCCAGGACCGTCCGGTCGTCATCGGACTCGGACTTGATGCATGGCGTGCGCAGTGTCCAGAGATGCTGGAGAGTGGACAGGTGATGTTCTATGGTGAGCACTCCGTCCAAATGCTTAACGTACCTTTCTCATGACGCATTCGAAAGACCACGATTTCTTCCTCCCACAACCTCCGCTTCCCTTATCAGACTTCAATCGGCATCCCGCAGTCTACATACTCCGCGTTGTCCTACATGACTGGCCTGACGCCCGTGCACGTCATGTGCTGCTCAACTTGCGGCTTGCAAGCAACCCAGAGACGAGGCTTATCATTGCGGATCATATCCTCCCATTAGCATGCGTTGATGAGGGCGTCCGTAGCGCAAAGCACGAATATCAGAAATCCGACGGCGGAAAGTGGACGCTCGACTCTGTTCTAGCGCACCTTGAAGGCGCACATGGCACTCTAGCGCCTGCGCCCCTGCTTCCGAACTTGGGCAAAGCAAGTGCAACCCCCTTTTCCATGGATATTGTGGTACATGCTATGATATATTGTTGTCTCTGCCAAGGTTTACTGACTGAACTGCGTAGATGCACATAACTTTCAACGGCAAGGAGCGCACGCTACGGGAGCTTTGTGCGCTAGCTCTGTCGTCTGGCTGGCGCATCGCACGCGTGACATACTCAAAAGGTTCCCATTTCGGGCATCTTGTTTGCGAGCCTGTAGACATACCTGAGGATGCTTTCAACATCCTCCCTGGACGGCCAATCTCGGATCCTGCGATAGATTTATCGTTTGAATGTGCCGAGCCCTCAGAAGACGACGAACATGAGGGCCCGCAGACCGCCCAGGAGATGTATGCCAATAAACTGCCATCGTCGCTCGGGCCGAGGCCTATCTCGACGACAATCCTACCACTTTTGCCATCTCCTATCCTCGAGCGCTCGTCATCGCGTTGTGGAACGCCGACATTTGGATCTCGTGTGTTCCTCCCTCGTCCAGACGAGATCCCGTCTGGCAAGTCTAAATCTTACAGCCTTGGTAGAAGATGGCTCAAGGCAAGAGGCCTTGGCGTACGTAGCGTGGTTGAGAAGCAAAAGCGACGTGAAGAAGGCGCTCGAAAAGCCGATGAACACGATGACCAAAGCGGTCAATACGGATCTCCACAGCACTCACGCGTCTGGTGGAAAAGGGCGCCACCCACTTCTCCTGTAGCAGAAGAGCGAGCTGGTGATACATCGACACCTCGCAGTCCACTTCGCCTTCGCAGAGGTACGATGACAACTCCAGAGCTTTCACCACCATTACCGTTGCAGAGCCCGCGCATTCCGACACAGTATAATTTCCCTGCGCATCGTACGACGCCTAGTGTGCAGTCCAACTTCCAAAGTGACGGAAGTTCAAGTGCCCCGCGATCGAGGAGGCCGAGTGTAGTGAGTCTCACTCGCAAGCTCAACTTCTCCCCTTTTGCGCGGAGACAGAGCATAGTAGACGGTGGAGCACAAAGGAGCAGTGACACGAGCGCGAGTCCGCAGTCAACAACGTTTGATACCGCATATGTCCGGTCTTCAAACCAGGAGAAGAAGCTGAAACATCAGCCGAGTTCACCGATGATGCAGAAACACCATCCTGATGATCGCGAACACAGCATCAGACATCATCCTAGTGCACCTCACCTGAAGGGTCGGTCTACTCGCGCTGAAGAGCCTCCGCCCTTGCCTACGACTCCAAAAATTGTACGGGATGATGCATCCTGCAGTGCTCCTCGCAAGTCCAATCTCATGAGCTCCCCGATCTTCAGTGGAAGCAAGTCTAGTCTGTCCACGACGACCTCGCGTCAACGGAGTCGTTCGATTTTGTCAAGTACTCCTGCTTTGATACGCGCACCTAGTACGCTTACAGATCCCGCAAGCCCAAAGTCAAAACGTCAGCCGAGTACACCGAAACTTCCCCGGAGGCTCAGTATACCTATGCTCCGCCGCAAGCGTAGTCAAAGTCTGACTGCTGAGAGGGATACCTGAACCGGTGGTGGAGTGAGCCTGGTAACTTACCTTTCGTTTATAGTTCTTTTCTTGCCATCTCGTCGAATGCTGTGTTTTGCACATATTACAGTGATTGCCTCTCTTTTCATGCATTTATGTAGACGACCTCGTTGCATCACAAGGCCCGATGTTTGATATTATGCTTATTACTGTTGTCTACTTCTCATGGAGTTAATAATTTTGAGATTTCACTGTGGGGTTTCGACCGATAATTGTATTATTAGATCGTGCTAAGCAGATCTGTGGTGACGTCCTCCATTGTAATAATCAAGGTAATAAGCGTAGAAATTGCATGTTGAACTGCATATGTTTTCTTGAGAACAAATAAAAGCTCTAGCATACAGACTACTCTATTGCATAATACATAAACGGAAGTCCCCCGTCCTTTGAGCCTTGCAATTGGGAAGTGCATAGATGTGTAAATTCAAGCGAGACAATTCGGTCAGTACTATTACTTGCAGGCGTAATCGAACGTTGTTCCACAACGACAAACCATATGATTACAGCCAGCGATCTTCTCTATCAAATGGGAGCATCCTGGGCATCTTGCCCAGCCTGATGCTTGAGCGATATCAAGCACTTGTTGCGTTGCTGCATCAATAACGCAGTTGTGATTCCCAACCCCTTCGTACTTTGTACGGCATTTTCCACACGTACGGGTGGAACAACTTGGGGCTGGGCAATCGTACACTTTTCGTGACGACTTTTGGTGGAGCGCACCAAGAAAGCGATTGCAGGATGGCGATGAGCAATACACCCGATGCATCGTTTTCTTCTCTCGACCTTTGAGCCGAAAGTCTGCAATTAAAGCTTGACTGACGTAGCGTCGTACTTTTGTGAAGGGTATGTTTCTGTGACAGCATCGTGGTGGATACAGGGAGTCGTCACGGACTGAGGACTGGAAGAGGTGGGTAATGCAAGCAAGGTCGAAGACGTGCCCGCATGGAACTGGGATTGCGGCGCCATCTATGGGATCTCTGCATATGATACAAATGGCCCTAACACCTGTCAGTTTACACAGTTTATCCTCGTTCGTCTCAGGTAGACTCACGGTTCCTTCGAGGTAGCATCGACCTTCTTGATCGATTGTCTTGGCATGTTGTTTTTCAAGTGCTGGAAGCCTACTCGGGTTGCCAAAGGATGTTTAGTAGCCAGAGGAGACCCCCTTCGTATCGAAAAGGATCGACAAAGCTGTCACGGTAGGAGAAAGAGCAACGGAAAGGGATGCTCAGCGTTTTATGCCTCGTTGCCTCCGCATGCTCTCGATCACCCCTAAATGATCGCGAATAACGAAACCAAGATAAGGATCAGGGTCTTAGCGCTCAGCCAACACGTTCATAGTACAGGAGAGCTTACGTGGCTGTGCTGTGATAATGTATAATAGGCAAGTCCCCACCAGCCTTTCGACTCTCATACTCCACCATCCAGCCGCGCACCACCATGAGGACCAGGGGAATCCCGCTGAACATCACCAGTCCTGCTAATTCTATCTAAAATTGGGCGGTGTGACATGGGTCAGCGTTCGCCGCGGGCTTTTTTACCGTCAGGCAGAAAAGTCAACACCGCGAACATTCCCATGAACGTAGCCTTCTGCGTGGAACTCTGGGGTGAAATTGGTGATGGCTTTCTCCAGTGGTTAATGCTCCGGGACAGACCTCTTGCTCAGGCATCGAACAAGCGTACTTTGGGCGAGTACCATGATAACGTTCTTTGTCGAGTCGCGCCGTTGACGATTTTCCCGTAGAAATTCAAATTTTACCTAAGACGCCGAGTCTCATTAAGTGTTTACCTAATCGATATAATCCGTGGTTACGGATCTTTGGGTTGGACTGCGCACGAATAGAGACAAACTGCAAGGGAAACCCTAAGCTGAACCTTTAAGTGGGATGCGGCAGCTCTATCTATCCGGGGCCGACTACAACATGCGTTAGAACAGTTCGTCAGGTCTACTGCACTAACCAGGATTCCAACCTACTGTGCCAGTATGGTGGATGTTCGGTTACACTTCGACTTACCGCGAAGCCCTCAATACCCGATCAGTGTTTGGTTCGAGCTTTGTCATTTACTCGATTTCATTTCATATATACCCACGCAAGTTCAATCTATCGTGAGTCACAGCTACTTAAAAACCTTCAACTGCGGGCAGGCCTTTTGACACTCAATGATTAGACTTAGCCTCTTGAAAAAATTGTCGTTCACAATGGGGACTCAAATATTCCCGTGGTCAAGCGCATATGATCGACAGCATTGGGCGTGCTATCGAGCGTGTCTGACAATGGTTCCCGAAACAAGGCTCATACTCACAATGAGTTTAACACTAATCGAACGTTTTCAGAGACTTGATACTGCGGTACATCATCCTGATAGAGTTCAGCGTCGGAAGAGTCGGAAGCTTAAATACCGCATTTTCCAGACTGGGTCTTCATCACATCTGGGTTTTCGACCAGCATGTCAAGTGGCGTTACTTTCAGCTATTCCTACATGTCAGTATCGAGCCTTTCTCGGGGGTGGATTCTCCGGCTTGAGATCGGTGGGCTAACCATAATCCGCACTTGATCTCTAGCTGGTATTGTGACACATCCCTAACGATAATATATCAATGTTGCCTCGACCTGTTCATCATCCTCGCTATTGTAATCAACAACCTCAATCTCAATCTAGAATCGTTATCCCTTGTCTGACCTACTCAATATCATCAAATTTCCCTCGAGCACTTCAGCGTGTCGTCTACATCACGAGGCTCGGTCGAGAGCGGAGGTATCCATGCGAAGGATACTTCGAGATTATGTGCAGTCTCAACAGTACTTCCAACCTTTTCACGTGTGTGCATATGAGCATGTCGACGGCAGGCAGACTTTCCCGTCTCCATGACTTTTACGACGCTGTGTTGTCGAAGGTTTGCACAAATTCTGCTGAGAGTTTCAGATGTGTTCAGTCACAGTAACGGCAGGTCATGATGCAATGATCGTAAATAATCGAACAGATTCCTTCGAAATCTGTGCCATCAGACACCAATATCAATTCTGCCAAATCGATCAGAATCGTGCTCATTAGTATACGCAGGATATGAAAGGTCGTGGTCGTCCTGTTATACTATAGTGTTCCTTATCCATGATCGTGAGAATGTGAGTTATACTTGAATCCGACATTGCCTCGACCCATTTCTTGATCAGCAGCAGCATCCTACGCATTGTTCGGTCAACAACAACATCAATCCAAAAGCTGAACCACTCGACTCACGTCTGTGAGCAGAGTCCGTTAGGGCCCCCGAGATGATGTTACAAGGCGCAAAAGGTGACCCATCACGTGAAAACTCGATGCAAAGCAAACTACTACTCAGTACTCAGTACTCAACTCCCATGCAGGTCAAGCCTCTACGTTTGTTTTGCAACTCTGGTACGCAATTTTGCATTATGCATGACAGACATGATAGATGCCGTACTGATACTTTCTTTGCTCAGTCCGTTATCTGCGTCCGAGGACTGATCACAACGTGTATATTTTACACATACTGTATCTTACCGGTGGCAAAAACCCCACTACACGTGCACCGAGATCCGTCGTACACCAAGCCAAGAGTTGTCGAACCAAGATCCTTTTTGTTCACTTTTGCCTTCGTTCTTCCTTTGCACAAAGTGTGTGAGTAGAGACTGAAAAATAACTGAGCGAGTTGAGTGTCCTGTCAAGATTCATCATTAAACTCAAAGCATTATGAAATGAGCGAAATGGAGGAGGCGGGTTCTGCCTAAACACCAGCTGCCCAGGATCACACGCAATGCAAACCTGTTCTGCCAAGTCCACTGAGCGTCAACTGTCGCGACAGCATGAAGCAAGTCACCATCCACCCTATCTCAAAGAGACTATTCGAGTGTCCCAGCAGTTCATACCACTACACACAAACACAATGTGTTTCTTCCTCGCCGTTATTGTTGCTTTGGCGGAATCTATCACGTACGTCAATGCATGTCAAGGTTCGCTCCAGAGTTGTGAAACAACAAGTGACTGCTATGAAGGTTATGGCTTGATCTGCGTGAGTAGGAGCAGTTTGCTCTGCATCGACTTTGCCTCACCTTTTGCGACTCATAACAAAGTCTGCTACACAAGCAACACACTGGTGAGCCAAATGTCTACTGTCGCATTAGTGTTGTTGTTGATCGAAGACGGCGCTGATTGAGAAATGGCAAGAGTCGATATCGAGCTGAAGTAAATATTTCGAGCGAATGAAGTGTTTGCGTACTTTTTACTCTCTTAGTGTGAGCAGAGCCCATGGGTCGACCATAAATCAAACGCCGTCCATTGGTCGTTCGTATCGTTTTCTGTATACGTCCTGTCCAACCGTGGAGTGGGAGCTCAACAAGGTCTTGGATATAAATCATTAGTTTCTCCGCCTCAGAATAGACCTTTCAAGATCTAAAATTATACCGCGCCAACCATCAACGTGCCAGATCTTGGGCGATCTCTCTAAAGTTGAAAGAATCGAGGGCAATATCATCGAATCGGAGGCTCAGCTTAGGCTTTGCGTACTTTTTGGTCTGTGTAAACAAAAACCGCAGGGGCCGGCCACAAATCAATCGTACTTCAGCTAAGAGAAGCGCACCTAATCAGATCAACTGTCCACCTTTTCGCTGTCTATGACGCGCTCACTTGACAAGCCACACAGCCGTTCATCCTGCCTTGTCTGAGAGTCTAACTTAACCATCGAGTTGATCCTTGCAGCTTGACAAAACCTGGAATACAAACCATCATCTTCTCCGACTAGATTGAGATTTTTCAGGATATGAAATTATATCAGTACCAACCATCAGAACTTGGTCGATCACTCACTATCCATTAATCCAAGAACATCTCCGTGCTGGTCATTTCGACATGAAAGACATGCTGACGGTCAGTCCAACAATCGAGGCGAAGTGCGTCGCACATGATGTATGATGTCGCGGCGAATAAATCGACTGACGTAATGGTATGCGCTTTACACAACTCACAGCTCTCAGTTTGAGGGAGTATCCAACGTGCAAGCTAAACATAGCGTACGAACTAGACGGTACGGAGGCTATGTGGAGCATGCATTCTAGTCGAACGGCAGGTGCTGCCGGCCCAACCAAATGATAGTGTCTTTGGGTTACAAGACCGTGGATCAATAGTGGGCGTTCCTAGCGGGGATGTCTTCAAACGATGTCCGCTTGGTGGGAAATGTAGACCTAGGCGTGTATGGGGATGACGCGGTGATTGATGAACATGGCTCACGGGTTTGAACGATTCGTTGGTCATTCTTCGATCTAAAAACAATTTATGTTGCGAAACGTTTTATCAAGGGATTATTAAAGTATCGACATACCAGCTTGAGCACGACACAGGAATATCTTATCGTCACAAAAAGGTTATGCAGGTCGTGCGATAACGAGTCCGATAGACACTTCTGAGGCGCGCAACTGCACCGCATATATTTTTTTTACAGGCGGCTGGAAGACGATGCCATGACCTGCCCACGTTTGTCGTATATCATCGCCATTTCGATAGCAACGTTCCTGTAAGTCCGTTTTCGCCTGCAACATGTGCTGGCCTGTACCACTCCTGTACCTCGAAATGGACCAGCATGTGAGGAACGTTTGGGGAAGCTGTTGGGAACCTCGGAATGCTGGATGAGAGCTGCAGCGCTGAAAGTTCCATTATGTAGTGATCGTGAGAAATTATTATGGAACGTTGCATTGTCACACGGCACACCCACCATGATGCCTATCGATCGATCTTCTACCCAATTCACTGCTGAAAGAACTGACTGCACTCGACCCAAAGTTCAAACGACCGGGTTGTTGACATTGGTAGACTCGAACACACAACTTTTCCTGATGGATCCGCTGAATGGCTGGGTTTCTTGATCAAAGTTTACTCAGGTGATACCCTAGTCGGAGGGTTTTCGAGTCTGAGAAGTTAACGCCACGACTGAACCACGCCAACGGAGCGCTGAGAAGCACGACTTGATCCGATGACTTGAAAAAACGGAACTTGTGTAACGCATATGCTCCACCTGCAACATGTGGCATGTGCTTTGATTGATGAGGCGGAAGCGAGGAACACGCAGAAGGGGCAAACATCAGAAACCATAATGAACTTGACGGCACAATGGTAAGCAATCTTACATTTTGTTGCATCATTGTTTTGATTCAGCCCATTCAGGGCTATAAAAAGACTGTTGCAACGCATTTTCTTATAGTTCCTCACCAGTGGTCTGGTACCGAAAGCTCTATTGTCTGTGCACAGCGATTGGGACAATCGCCTGTTTTGATCTATTCAACCCAATTCTTATTTGAACTCTCGTTGAGCGAGTTTGTAAACGTCTATCATTTTCTTCTCTCCCCGCCGTTCCTCGCATCTCTTCTTTTTTTCCCGACACCCTATATGCTTCGCTCATCCACGATGCTTCGAAGACTTGCCCAACTCCTCCCTGCCCTCGCCATCTCCACTCTCGTCTCAGCTCATGGTTATGTACAGCAGGTGACGATCGACGGCACCGTCTACAAGGGCAATAACTTAAATGTGGAAACCCCTGCCCCTTCTATCATCCGTCTTGTCAGTACGAACAGTCCCGTTAAGGGTGCCCAAAACCCGTACATCAACTGTGGGCAAGACGCTCAGTTCGCTTCCCTGGCAGGAAATGCGAACCCTGGCTCCCAGCTCGAGATTCTATGGGTCGGCGGAACAGATGGGTCATCCAACGTACGTGACTTCACACATGATGCATAGATTGACAAGTGATAATCAATCTGCAGTGGCCCCATAACACAGGCCCACTGATGCACTACATGACCAAGTGCGATGGCTCTTGCTCAACGTACAACTCGACGAACTCCGAGTGGTTCAAGATCTCTGAACTTGGTCTCGAGGCGGACGGCAATACCTGGTATCAAGCAAACTTGAGTCAGTACTGTTCATACTTTGCTTTACTTGTACTCATGTATTCCGCAGATTCTCGAGCTCCTGCGAACGTGACGATCCCGAGCACTCTCGCACCCGGAAATTATTTGCTTCGCTCGGAGATTATCTCCCTCCAACTTGCAATGTCTTCAGGAGGCGCTGAGTTTTACCCTGCGTGCATTCAACTTCAAGTCGGCGGTTCTCAAACTCAGGGCCCGACGTCGAGCGAGGAGTGCTCATTCCCTGGTTGTTACAGTGATGACGATGCCGGTATTCTAACACCAGACGTGAGCTATTTTATCGTTTAATTTTCTTCGAACATAGCACTAATGATCGCGCAGATCTACAACCCTCCCATTCAGTACACGTTCCCCGGCCCTCCTGTCGCAAGCTTCGTGGACGCCGGGTCAAGCTCTGCTGCGCCTTCTTCCGCCGGCTCTGTATCGGGTTCCTCAGCAGGGACTACATCAACCTTTGCCAACGGCCCTTCCTCCACCATTATCGCATCAGCCACTCCAAGTCCAACGGTGACAGGGCAGTGCATGCTTAGTGGCCGTTCCGTCAACGAGGGTGTTGTCAAGCGAGACAGCAGGAACAAGCGGACGCACAAACGGAGACTTGTCCGTTCGCACTAAATGCGAATATTAACTGGCGAGGGTGGGCTTGACGTCCCCCTCCCTCATGGTTATCATATAACAAGGTTTGACACCTCGTGGCACTGCGTGCTGCATCACGATATCACTGATTCGGTTATCCACGTACATACACAATCATTTTTAACTCACTCACTCACGTTCACTCTCACTTCGGCTCCTTTGGAGCGAGCCACTCTCTGTTGCATGTTCGTTCTGCCTTGTGGATACCTTATCTATCTGTATTTTTGGGTGCCCGTCTAGAATGGGTCTTATCCATGCGTAGCCATGGTTAACATGACATGCATGTTGTTACTATAGCTGCACCGGGTGTACATAATGCTTGATGCAATGCAACTGACTATATCTGTAACACAGTGGTTGATGCATCCACTTGAATGCGTGTGCCACCTGTTCGCTCGCGTCGTAGTAGGAGGTATCTTCCATTATTTCGGGGACCACGTGTTCCCGGGTCGGCCGTGCCTCGGCTTAGCACTTACCGCTCGTGGCTCGATGTGCCAAATGGTTTATCGATGGTTGCCTGGCGTACGGTACACATGCCCAAGTTATCTATATGCCAAACAGCCGTGGGAAATCTGAAACGCCTGGTGCCCCACCTCGAACCTAGTCTTTCATCACCGAGTTTTTCTTATGAGTTCTCCGGTGAAACCTTATGCTGGTTCCATATAGAACTTCAGTGCCGCTATGACCCACCGAGGGCACTCCCGCACAACATATCAACAGAATCTCTTTGGTCACATCGAATATCGATCAAGCAAACCCATTAAAGCTTACGAAAAATGGTCCATTACCAATATCGACACCATCATCAAACCGATAGAAACGATCATCAGGGCGAGCCTTGATTTGGCTGAATTTCGCCAAAGTGTACAGGACGGCGCCGATGAAAAATATTTATACTCACCATTGGTGAGTACCCGTTTCTTCAGGCTAGCTTTCGTTCGTATTATAACATATCACAGCAGATATGACAGGATATAAACGAACACACGACAGGTTGGCTCCCTTGCTTGAAGGACATTCGTCCTACCAGCTCGAGTATCCCTCCTTCCTAGTTGGCATGGGTGCAGCTGGTTATACGCGTCTGTGGAGGACTAAGGGTTCCCCCCATATGGTCTTCATTGTCTTTACTAAGTCGCGGTACAGCTACGTGGCGAGCCGTATGGGCTGAGAACAAGTCAAAGAAGAACGAAGTCGTAAGTTTGAAAACCTTATGGAGGTCGCGAACTCGGGAAAGCGAATCCAATGCTTATGGACATATCAAGTTACCTTTACCAGGCATCGCTGAACTCAGTCTTGGGGATGATGTCTACATTCCTTTAGGAAGGGAGACCCATACTCGTGTTACGGTCGGCACCCTCCGTTTTCTCATTCTCGTGACACTGGCGTTCCCGATGATCCCGTCTTCCATCGTCTCGCGTTGACGACTGTGGGACGACCTTTGTGCGACGCTGACACAACAAAAAGATTTCATTTTAGGGTCTCTCGCTGCACTCAGAGGTTCGTCATCATTCAGTTAGCGCGTTGATTAGCTTCCTAAATCATCGCATTTTCAGGACATCAAAGACTCGCGGAGCAAGGTGTTCTTCATCGAGATATGAACTCAGGTAATATCTTTGTCGGTGGTCCGGATTGTGCTGAAGGCTGCTCGCAGATTTTGAACTTGCCTCGGTGGCGCAGCCAGACCCCAGAGACTGAAACCGTAGTCTCATTGCATCCGCCCTCTCTCGCCGCGTGCCAGTTGAACACTAGAAGTGTCTTTCTGGAGGAAACCGTTCCGTCGGTACTGCTTTGTTGTGGCTGAAGAACTTCCATCCATGATGCTTCTTCCGGACAAGAAGAAAATTCGACCGGCTCAAAAACGCGGGGTGCACCATGACCTGGAATCATTCTTGTCCTCTTCTATTAGAAATGAAACATGCTCTGGAGCGCCGACTCTGGCACCAGAATCCAGGCAAAGAATCTCAGATCCAAGAACGTTACCGTACTTTGTTCGGCGGCCATACTATTCTGCTAATGCGACAAGGACGGTCCTGCTTTCTCGATGAAAGCAACCTCTCTGTATATCTTTTAGATGTCCTGGACTTGCCAACGGCGCAGCTACTTTATAGCTGTTAGAGGCTTTTGAAAATCCAACGGTTCTCCAACTTTCCTACTTAGCAATGAACGTAGAGAATCGATCAGAAGATGCAATGGGAGAGTGGCTCACAGGAACTAAAGGTGATCACTTATGCGCAGTTGTACACAATATATGACGTAGCGGTCAGCAAGCTTTCAAGAATTGACGTTTTAACTAAGATGATCAACGAATTGTGTACTTTGATTTCGTCGTCAAAGAATAGAGACTTTGTACGTACGGCATACACCATTGCGAGCCGAGTTTACATAAGGTACCTCCTTTTTGTAGCGGCAACAGTTGCAGTCACCTTTGAACTTGACTCTGCTTTGGTCAGTTACTAAGTCTTCATTGTTTAGGACGTCCTCACAACCTCAAATCAATAGAGCTACCTTGTCGTTCCTTTGACTATTTCATGGCACTGCTACAATTCTTTCTGCCACGATGTCTTTGTCCGTCCGTTTCTTAGTCGCATCTGAAAGCATTTAAGCAGTAAGCAAAACAGCCTGAGTGGTTTCGACACCCCACTACGTACACGTTCTTCAGCTAAGTCAGACTATTACTCGCAATCGTGCTCGGTGTTGACAACACAAACTCTAGTAAGTTCTTCGTTTTACAATCGCTGATAATGTTGACATCAAGTCTCAGCGTATCAAACGGTAGACCAAGCTGAGAAAGAATGAAGCCCGAAGCAGAGTTACTGTCTCTTCCTTCAGAACTAATATTGCATATTCTAAGCTTTCTTCCTTGGCAAGACATTATACGTTGTACATCCGTAAGCTACTATCAAAACACTGATCGGTGTTCTCTGGTACTGATGATCGTCTGGCAGCTTTGCAAGGCCCTTCGCGAGATATATTTGTTGTCCTCCGAGCTTCAGTATATCACCGAACTGGGTGGCCAACAACTGCTCCCTGTTCTCAATGGTTCTCTTCCTGTTTCAGAGCGCCTACAACTCCTGAGGGACAAAGCCCGCGCATGGTCCAAGTTCGACGTTCACTCTTCTGAATCAATCTTTATCCCAGTACAATTCCGTAGACGAACGAAGGTGTCTGTCGTTAATGGTCATGCCTGCTTCTGGAAGCCGACTATGCACTCGGGCAAGATCTTTCCGATAGTACCCAGGCCCTTACAACAAACTATCGAGCGCGATTTCTCTCCAGATTCGCTTTGCTCAATTCCCACACAGAGACAAAGCGACTTTGACGTTTTGAATGTTTTGATGGACCCAGTGCAAAACCTACTCGCCATTGTCTATGTCACGGTCGTTAGAAATGGTGGCCTGGTGTATGACGAGGCGTACTATATTGACCTTGTAGCCCTGGATGGAGACTGTACCCACCCTCAAGCTGCTGGACGGACTCTGTTTCTCTCTGACTTGCCAAAACGCAAGAACTTTGTTACGAAGAGTACGAAAATCGAAGGATTTGGGAGGCATATCGCTTTACGACTGTTCGACGATCAGCTGCGTATCCCTTCATTTACGTCCAGATGGTGGTTGCAGATTTGGGACTGGCAACACTCAACAACGTCCAAGGTGAGCTTTGATCATCATTAGTTGATATACTTGACGGTTGATACTTGATTTAGTGCATCCTCAGCGGCCCAATAGTAGATCCAGATTTCAACGAGATCGACGTTTGCTTCCTCGGAAACGACAGATTTTTGGTTGTCAACGACGATTTGAAGCTCTATTCGATCGAGGACATGTCTCATCCACCGCGATTCCTGGCTCGCTTCTTGTTGCCCGCATCAGTGGTGAATTTACGATGCTTGACTCCGACGAATGATATCGCACGTAGCCCACACCCTTCGCAAGCAACATGGATCTCGGATCCTAAACATCGACTGATCTCTCTTGTCACGTGGAATTCAGAGCTTTACTTCATCATTTCTACTAGGATTTTTTTCGAGGCTGACTTCGTTGACTCGGAAAGGACGAAAATACCATGGGAGTCTTGGGGTCCTCCAAACGCTCATGTTGTCCCGCACCGATTTTCATGCAAACTTAGCGTTAGCGGGAGTCGAGCTTTGTATGCATTCGCGTCCGGCGTAGAATTGAATGACGGCTTGATCGCAACAGAGTACAGGATATATCTTATGGACTTCAGTCCGTCGGCTGTGAAGCGCCACCACGAGCAAGGCCTAGGAAGAATGGTGAACAAGCCATCTAAAGTAGAAAACGTCAAGACGGGTGAATGCATCACGACATCCATGCCCTATGTCGAGGTCGTGTCTCACAAAACGTTCAGTCATGGCGAGTTTGTTGAGATGTGGCTCGATAGAGACCGACTTTATTTGCTGAAGAACCATTTTGATATCGTAAGATCATCTTTTCTTCTGATGAAGTGCGACGTACTCATTGTTTATCCAGGATAAAATAGATCAGTTTGAAGTCATCGAGTTTTGAATCGTGCAGCTAGTAGATCGTTGACTTTCAAGCTGTTTAGACGACTTGTGAGAGCTCTCAATAATATTACTTACCACTCGCATTTTCCTCCCACACTAATAGTAGCACCATGAATTTGAATATGTCCTGCTCTTGCTGAACGATGTCCTTGTGAGATTAGTTACGACTTCAAGTACTCGGCTTGAAGCTCTCGTAGAACTCTACCTTCTGGGGTCGATGCGGGATTATTTTGATCCAGAATCAGGTCGAGGCTGGCGCGTCCTGACTCAGTTGGAGTGTGGAGGACGTAATGTCTGAACAGATGGATGTGATGAGAGATGGGATTTGAGACGCGAATCGCGTCGCTAACGCCATATCTCACCACAACACTAATAGATGCCGAACGAACAGAGAGTCAGCTCAAGAAGAAGCGTAAGACGAGTCCCAAGGGTTCCGGTGGCTGAGATGGAAGCTGTGTCAGATTTGAGATTATAGAGACGATCGATCGAACATCGCTGTTTTCGGGCAACTCCGACTCCGACGTCGAACACAGATTTGAAAACAGCGCCTTGAAAACTATGTATCACTTTGAACATCCTCACTATAAATAAATCACTAGGACTTCCACCGTCAATAGCTAGACAACCCGTAAACGAATGAAGACACGGTTGTTCCTTCAACTTCCTGGCATTTCGCGGAGTCACATAGCGCCTGCTCCAAGCCTGCCCAATGCTTAGCGCTGGTCAACACAGTAGCAAATAAGCATCGCCTCCAGGCTTGCGATCAAGGGTATGGCCTGACATCGTATTTAAACGACGTTGCTACTCACTCTTCTCGTTCAATGCCAACTTCGCCCACAGTGATCTTTAATCATTCGCCATGAGCAACAGCAGCCAATTAACGGACTCAAGCCCAGTTCCTCCGGACACCACAGCAGTTGCTCGCGGAAGCTCGGTATGTTGCTCATGTGGATCACTTGTCCATCACACTCTCAAACACTGACTCTGATGTCCCATTTGTTCAGGTCCAACCGCCAAACAAAGTTCATCGTTTTCTGAGGAAGGTCAAGGATGGTGTAACGAAGAAGATTCCTGTAAGTCGAGCAACCAAGTTGTATTGGGATCAGACTGAGATCATACAGAAGCGCTCGAAGAATTTGCGTAGCCGCGACCCCGTTCAGGTAGGTGACATTCCGACGTCTGTTCTCTATCTAACTTCTACTGGCTACACCGGGCTCAGGATACTTCTGCTGCTGTGCAACAAGTCCCCGATCCCCAATCTGTGAACGAGGCACTTCAGGATGCCGGTCATGGTGCAGATAAGATGAACCAAATTTGGGGACATGCGAGACCCGTATTATCCGCAGGCAAAAAGGGACCAGCAGCACTCGATGATGTAGACAGTATAGAGACCACTTATCTTCAACCCCTCAAGATATTCGACACCGTGATCGGGACGATAGCAGAGGTATGTCTCTCTTCCTCTTTAGATCTAGACTAACAACGTCCTGCAGATGCACCCGTATGCAAAGATGGCATTGGGCGTGCTTTCTTGCGCATCAAAAGTACATTTTTCTTGCCCTTATTCGTATTTCCTGCTCACTTGTTCTGCACGCAGATAATTCTTGCTCAAGCGGATCGCGACGAAGCGGTACTCGACCTCTACAAGAAGTTGGGTCAAGTGTATGGCTTCATAACGCAAGACGACACGCTTCTCAAGATTTCGTCAATGAAGGACATCTTGGGACAGATCTCTCGGCAGACCCTAGAATGCGCCAATTTCATCAGGGATTATTCAGACAAGAAAAGCTTTTGTGAGTCTCCCACAAGTCGTTACACTTTGCAGATTTTCAATCGTATCATAGGGAAGAGACTCGGAAAGAACGTCATCTCGGAAACAAACGATACGATAAAACGGTATAACGATGTGTTGGATGCGCTCATGCAAAATTTCCGTGACCAAGTTACTCACGACGTAGCGATCTACATTCACCATACAAGTAAGGATTCGGACGTGCTTCTGATTCGACGTCCATTCATACTTCTACAGGCGAAATACTGGAATTCAATGGTATGGCTTATGCGGACTCCGCAGGACTAGATACTACGAAGCAATGCCAACCAGGGACACGCAAGGACATTCTCTCCGACATCATGGAATGGATCAACGACAGCAGAGAAGATGTTCCACGGGTGTTATGGCTATCCGGACCTGCCGGAACGGGTAAATCAGCCATTGCTCACACGATCGCCAACTCGTTCATCGGAGTGGGCGGACTTGGTTCTTGTTACTGCTTTGACCAAAACGAAAAAGATCGCCATAAAAAGGTCTTCACCACTATCGCGCGCGACCTGGCTGACCGTCATCCGGAAATGAGACGAGCGTTAGCGGATGCAGTCAAGAACCAGACTGCGCTCAAGACTACATCGGATGTCGTACAGCAGTGGCAGAAGCTTCTTATAGAACCGTTAGGGAAGCTTTCTGAATCACCCGTGGGGCCTGTCGTGATCGTTATCGACGCACTGGACGAAAGTGGCGAGGCAGTGGAAACACGCAGCAACCTTCTTAGTATTCTTTCCGGTAAACTTCAGAACTCTGCTGTTCCTCAAATCACGGAGCTCCCAAAGAACTTTCGGTTTATCGTCACCTCTCGCCCACTCCGCGATATTCGGAATGCGTTTGAGGGCGCTCAAAACATTCGAAGGATTTCCATGGACGACATTCCGTCAAAAGACGCGGAACGTGATATCTATGCTTACGTGTCGAATAAGCTGCAACGGCTTCCGCATTTTGGGAAGGAAGAGTTTACAGCTCTCGCCAAGAAAGCTGATGGTCTTTTCGAGTGGGCACGTCTTGCTTGCAAATCCATCGAAGCACCTCCCTTTGGTTCATCTTCCGTTCAGTTCTTCAATGTCGCGGTGTCTCGCGATAATGTCAAACGGGAGCACCTGTTGTATGATATGTATGACTTAATCCTGAAGCAGATCATACCAAAGGATGAACACGCAGACTCCGAGTTTCGGCAAACACAGCTAGCGATGTTTCGTTCCGTGATCGGACAAATTCTTGGCACAGCCGAACCCCTCCCATTGAATTCTCTGAATGCCATACGAAGCCATTTTCCAGATGAAAGTAAGTGTTACGAAGTGAAGGACATCATAGAGCACATGGGATCTCTCCTCAGCGGTACCACCGACCCATCCACCCCAATCCGACCCCTTCACGCATCCTTCCGCGACTTCCTGACAGACCAATCACGCAGAGGAGAGTTCTTTGTCGACATGCCGAAGGTTCAACGAGACCTTGCTTTCGCATCACTTGGAGTGATGAAAGAAAAACTTTCCTTCGATATCTGCGACTTAAAATCGTCCTATCTCCCCAACTCAGAAGATCCCGGTCTGCGAGAACGAGTTGAAAAGCGCATCCCCCCACATCTATCCTATGCCTGTCGATTCTGGCTTTCACACGTACACGCCACTAAATTCGATTCAGAACTCGCCACAGAAATAAAATCATTCCTCGACCATGAGCGACTGTTCTTCTGGCTCGAAGTACTCTGCCTGATCAATGCGCTCAGCGGCGCAGTCCCCGCCCTTCCGCTCATTGCCAAGTGGTTGAAGGTGAGCACACGGTTATCGAGCGTCAGATAACATGCTCACTAACGCGCAATCGCAATTACAGGGTCACACCGGATACGAAGATGCCTCGTCCGCTGCAACGGACGCGCAGAGATTCATTCAACTCTTCGGCGCCATGATCCTGCACAGCACACCTCATCTCTATGTATCAGCACTTCCATTCTCGCCCGTTCACTCAGCACTATCCAAAACGTTTTCTGCACGGTTTCCGAACTCCCTTCGTGCAGCATCCGGACGTGATATCAACTGGACGGCCGTTCAGACTGTGATCAGCGGACACACTGGTCCTGTTAACTCAGTCTCGTTCTCGCCGGATGGGACTTGCATTGCGACTGGATCGGATGATTGCACAGTACGGTTGTGGGATGCAGCAACGGGGCAGCCAGTAGGCAAGCCCTTGCTGGGTCACACTGACTCAGTCACCTCAGTTTCATTCTCGCCGGATGGGACACGCATCGTATCTGGCTCGGAATATTACACCGTCCGGTTGTGGGATGTAGCAACGTGGCAGGCCATCGGTGAACCCTTATCGGGGCATTATTGGTCGGTTACCTCAGTCGCGTTCTCGCCGAACGGAACTCGCATCGTTTCAGGTTCAGACGATGAGACTGTCCGGCTATGGGATGCAGCGACGCAGCAGCCAGTTGGTGAGCCCTTGGAAGGGCATACTCATCGGGTCCGATCAGTCTCGTTCTCTCCGGATGGGACACACATTGTGTCTGGTTCGAACGATCAAACTGTCCGGCTGTGGGATGCAGGAACGGGGAAGCCTGTCGGTGAGCCCTTGCTTGGGCACACTGATTGGGTTATGTCAGTCTCGTTCTCTCCGGATAAAACTTGCATCGTCTCTGGTTCGCAAGATAAGACTGTCCGGTTGTGGGATGTGGGGACAGGGAAGCCTGTCGGTGAGCCCATGGAGGGGCACACTCATGGGGTGATATCAGTTTCGTTCTCGCGGGATGGAGATCGCATTGTGACAGGTTCGAAAGATTGTACTGTCCGGTTGTGGGATCCAGCAACAGGGAAGCCAGTGGGTGAGCCCTTAGTGGGGCACACTCATTGGGTCAAGTCAGTCTCGTTCTCTCTGGATGGGACTCGCATCGCGACCGGTTCTTCAGATACAACTGTCCGACTGTGGGATGCATCTACAGGGAAGCCAGTTGGTGAGCCCACCAATTCCAATTCCATTACCTCGGTCTCGCTATCGCCGGATGGGACCCGTTTCGCAACTGGTTCGGACGATGGCACTGTCCAGCTGTTAGATGCAGCGACAGGTCATCCAGTCGGTGAGCCCTTGTTGGGGCACACTGCTCGTGTCTACTCAGTCTCGTTCTCGCCGGACGGGACTCGCATCGCAACTGGTTCTGCAGATAAGACTGTCCGGCTGTGGGACGCAGGGACGGGGCGGTTAGTGGGTGAGCCTTTCTGCGGGCACACTGATGAGGTCAACTCAGTCTCATTCTCTCCGGATGGGACCCGCATCGTTTCTGGTTCGAACGACATGACAGTCCGGCTGTGGGATGCAGGGACGGGGAAGCTAGTTGGTGAGCCCTTGGAGGGGCACACTGATCGTGTTTGGTCAGTCTCATTCTCTCCGGATGGGACACGCGTCGTTTCTGGTTCGGGCGATCAAACTGTCTGGTTGTGGGACGCAGGGACGGGGCAGTTAGTGTGTGAACCTTTCCGCGGGCACACTGGCGAGGTTACCTCAGTCTCGTTCTCTCCGGACGGGGCTCACATTGTTTCTGGTTCGGAAGATAAGACAGTCCGACTGTGGGATGCAGAAACAGGGAAGCCTGTTGGTGAGCCCTTGGAGGGGCACACTGGCTGTGTCACATCAGTCGCATTCTCTCCGGATGGGACACGTATCGTTTCTGGTTCAGATGATAAGACAGTCCAGTTGTGGGATCTCGCCACAGGGCAACCAGTCGGCGAGCCCTTGTGGGGGCACACTGAGGAGGTCCGCTCAGTCTCATTCTCGCGGGATGGGACTCGCATCATTTCTTCTTCATGGGATGGTACTGTCCGAATGTGGTATGCAGCGATTGGGAAGTCACTGCAGGACCATACCGAAGGAGACTGTTTACCATCTTCCCCGCATGACAATTGCATCTCACATCCAACACCGGCCATCCCCACATCCAACACCGCGAACAATGCCTTCATTTCCTTCTCATCACACTCGACACATGCACTGCGCGACACGGCTGAGCTGCTAGCAGGCGCACCCCATAATGTCCCCAGGCCGATGTTTAATTTCCTGGAGGCAGATGGATGGATGATGGGACCCCATCATCGGCTCTTATTCTGGGTACCGCCCGCCTCTCGAAAACCATTTTATAATATCTGGACTGTGTTAGTGATACACAGAGGTGTTGAGCTTGACTTGAGCTGCATGTCACATGGCACACGCTGGCAGGACTGCTACAAGGAGTGAGTCTCCAGTTTTTTCCGTTCCTCGCAGTCAATTAATCTGATCCTTATAGCTCTTCATTACAATAGTCTCGTCCCAGTAAATTGAATTCCGGAAGTGTCAGAGATACTTTGTCGAGTACGATATGGCATGTACAGTTGATTCATCGTGTATTAGATACATAGCATTATATTTGACTTGGGGTGGTTTGAGCAAACGATGTGTGCGTCAGAAAGGTTGTGACTGAGTGACATATTTTCGAGAGCATAGAACGATTATGAGTGATCAAAGATGCGATCAGGCGAAACCAATGGACGGAAGTGCGTGCTCAAGGCACCTGCCAGAGTGAATTGAAGAAACTGAAGAAGATTGCGCAGCAGCATGCGTCGATTGAAGTTTTGGATAGTCGTTTGGCTTCGGATGCACACCGCACACACAGTTTAAAACGTTGAAAGGACTGGGGCAATGGAAAGGAACGTGTTTCATTGCGTACAGTACAACATATGTATGGTAACGTGCCATGAGTTAATGATGGGTGCAAGGATATCGAGACTTGAGGCGTGGAATATGCGAAACTCCAAGAACACATGCCAGAAATGAAATGGGCGAGCGTCTAGGAAGCTAAAAGCAATATGAAAGACGACATTTCATCAAGGAAAATAATATTGGGTGCGACTTACCATGACACTCGGTTTTGCCATTTTGCCCAGGTCATCCTCTTTCAGATCGACTGCTCCATTCTTCTGCCCTCGCTGCTCACCTCTACGCCTAGTGCCCGCTTACGCATTTGGCACAGGCCTTCCTGATGTCGGCTCGCGAGGGATGTGTTGCACTGCCTTGCATCGCAGATATTTTCACGTTTGATGGCGTGTGCTGAGGGTTAGCATGCTCAGTTGCGACTTCAAGTAGACGGCTTGAAGCTCTCGTACTGGATCGCTGCCTCCTGGGGTCGATACGCGATCATTTGATCCAGAAATCAGGTCGAGGCTGGCGCGTCCTGACTCAGTTTAGAGTGACAAATGCGTAGGATGAGAAATGGAATTTGATTTGAGACACGGGTATGTCAGATCTGAGATCATATACAGGCTGCAACCTGCAGGAATCGATGATCGATCGAACGTTGAACGTCTGTTTTCGGGTAACTCCGACATCAGTCCTTAACTGAGTAACTAAGATTATCACTGACCTCGACTGTCCATACTAACTTATGAATTAAGATGGTCCGACTCGTTCCTTCGACTTCCTGGCGTTTCACGGAGTCACATCATAATAGTACCCAGTGCCCCAGGCAGCCTGCTGGCCATGCTTAGGGCTTCGGAGGTCAATACAGCAGCAAATAAGTGTTGCCTCGAGGTTTGCGGCCAAGGGTATGCCCTGCTATCATATTTAAGCGACGTTTCTACCCACTCTTCTCATTCAATATTCAACGCCTACTTCGCCCACACTGACCAGTAACTATTCGCCATGAGCAACACTAATCAATCAAGGGACCCGAGTTCAGTTCCTCCAGACACCACAGCAGTCGTTCGAGGAAGCTCGGTACGTCGCTCATATACATCACTTGTCCACCTCACTCTCGAACATTGACTCTGATGCCCCCATTTGTCCAGGCCCGACCGCCACACAATTTCTGTCGGTTTCTGAAGAAGGTCAAGGATGGTGTAACAAAGAAGATTTCTGTAAGTTGAGAAACCGAATTGCATGGGACCAGACTGAGATCATACAAAAGCGCTCGAACCTGAGGAATTTGCGTGGTCGCGAGCCTGTTCTTCCGAATGTTGATCACACAGGCGCCTTGTCAACTGCAAATATCGAGCCCGAGGTAGGTCACCTTTCAGTTTCTTCTTTCTCTCTTAACTTTTGATGGCTGCACAGGTTCAGGATGCTCCATCCAGTGCGAAACAAGGCGGTGATCCCCAATCGGCGCTTCGAGACGCCAAAAAAGCTGTCAAAGGCATGAATCTACTTTCAGGGCCTGTAGAATCTGGGGCATCCGCCGCCCAAAATGCATCAGGGGATCTCGAGGACGCATGTGATTTCGACGACACATATCTTCAACACCTCAGGATGTTCGACAATATTATCGCGAGGCTCGCGGATGTATGGGCCCATTCCGCTTGGTTGGAACAGAACTAATCCCTTTCCGCAGGTACATCCATATGCAAAGATTGCACTGGGCGTCTTGTCCTGTGCTTCAAAAGTATGTTCGGTTCCTGTCTTGTTTTATCACCCGCTCAGGAGTCATCGGTGCAGATGGTCATCGCCCAATCGGATCGCGACCAAGCAGTCCATTGTCTTGTCGACAAGTTGGATCAAGTTTATGAGTTTATGACTCAGGACGAGATGCTTGGCCAGATTCCATCGATGGGCGATATCCTTGGACAGATCTCTCAGCAGACCCTTGAATGCGCTCGTTTCATTAGAGATTATTCAGAGACCAAGAACTTCTGTGAGTCTTCAAACTGTTGCACGTTCCACGCGCTTAGTCTCCTACCATTACAACAGGGAAGAGACTCGGGAAAGACATCCTCACCGAAACAAATAATGAAATTAAACGGTACAGCGATGCGTTGGATGCCCTCATGCAAAGCTTCCGGGACCGAGTTGCTCGGGACGTAGCTATTTACACCCACCGTACAGGTGAGTATCGTACTTGTTCCTGACGCAACAGCTATACATTTTTCCTCAGGCGAACTACTGGACCTCAGCGGTATAACTTATGCAGCGAACGCAGGGCTAGACACCAGGAAACAATGTCTCCCAGGGACGCGCACGGAAGTACTCTCCCAAATCACAGATTGGGTGGACAGCACTGGAGACGACGTTCCACGGGTGCTGTGGCTATCTGGCACTGCAGGCAAGGGCAAATCAGCCATTGCCCACACGATCGCTAAGTGGTTCAGCGATGCGGGAGGGCTTGGTTCGTGTTATTGCTTCGATCAAGATCGAGGAGCCGACCGTCGCCATGAAAAGATATTCTCTACCATCGCGCGCGACCTGGCTGACCGTGATTGGGGGATGAGGCGAGCCTTGGCAGACACCGTTCAGAATGCCAGTGCGCTGAAGACTACAGCTGACATCATCCAGCAATGGCAGAAGCTTCTGATGGAACCAATGCAGAAGCTCTCAGATTCAACCGTGGGCCCTGTCGTGATCGTGATCGACGCACTGGACGAGAGCGGGGCGGCCAAGACACGTAGCGACCTTCTTCGCATTCTTTCCGGTAAACTTCAGAACTCTGCCGTTCCTCAAATCACGGAGCTCCCAAAGAACTTCCGGTTTATCGTCACCTCTCGCCCACTCCGCGATATTCGGAATGCATTTGAGGGTGCTCAACACATTAAGAGGATTTCCATGGACGACATTCTACCAGAAGTCGCGGAACGCGATATCCATGCTTACGTGTCGAAGAAGTTGGAAGGGCTTCCGGATTTTGGGAGCACAGAGTTTACAGCCCTGGCCAAGAAAGCTGATGGTCTTTTCGAGTGGGCACGTCTTGCTTGCAAATCCATCGAAGCACCTCCCTTTGGTTCATCTTCCGTTCAGTTCTTCAATGTCACGGTGTCTCGCGATGGTGTCAAACGGGAGCACCTGTTGTATGATATGTATAACTTAATTCTGAAGCAGATCATACCAAAGGATGAACACGCAGACCCGGAGTTTCGGAAAACACAGCTAGCGGCATTTCATTCCGTGATGGGACAAATTCTTGGCACAGCCGAACCCCTCCCTGTGAAATCCCTGAATGCCATGCGAAGGCATTTTCCAGATGAAAGCAAGTGTTACGAAGTGAAGAACATCATAGAACACATGGGATCTCTCCTCAGCGGTACCACCGACCCATCCACGCCAATCCGACCCCTTCACGCATCCTTCCGCGATTTCCTGACAGATCAATCACACAGTAAAGAGTTCTTCGTCGACATGCCGAAGGTTCAACGAGACCTTGCTTTCGCATCACTTGGAGTGATGAAAGATATACTCTCCTTCAATATCTGCGACTTAAAATCATCCTATCTCCCCAACTCCGAAGATCCCGGTCTGCGAGAACGAGTTGAAGAGTGCATTCCCCCACATCTATCCTATGCCTGCCGATTCTGGCTTTCACACGTACAAGCCACTAAGTTCGATTCAGAACTCGCCACAGAAATAAAATCATTCCTCGACCATGAGCGACTGTTCTTCTGGCTCGAAGTACTCTGCCTGATCAATGCGCTCAGCGGCGCAGTCCCCGCCCTTCCGCTCATTGCCAAGTGGTTGAAGGTGAGCGCACGGTTATCGAGCGTCAGATAACATACTCCTAACGCTCAATCACAATTACAGGGTCACACCGGATATGAAGATGCCTCGTCCGCTGCAACGGACGCGCAGAGATTCATTCAACTCTTCGGCGCCATGATCCTGCACAGCACACCTCATCTCTATGTATCAGCACTTCCATTCTCGCCCGTTCACTCAGCACTATCCAAAACGTTTTCTGCACGGTTTCCGAACTCTCTTCGTGTAGCATCTGGACGTGACATCAACTGGCCGGCCGTTCTGACTGTGATCAGCGGACACACTGGTTATGTTAACTCAGTCTCGTTCTCGCCGGATGGGACTCTCATTGCGACTGGATCGAATGATCGCACTGTGCGGTTGTGGGACGCAGCAACGGGGCAGCCAGTAGGCAAGCCCTTGCTGGGGCACGCTGCATTAGTTACCTCAGTTTCATTCTCGCCGGATGGGACACGCATCGTGTCTGGCTCGGAAGATAAGACCATCCGGTTGTGGGATTTAGCAACGTGGCAGGCCATTGGTGAGCCCTTATTGGGGCATACTAGGTCGGTTACCTCAGTAGCGTTCTCGCCGAACGGAACTCGCATCGTTTCAGGTTCATGGGATGAGACTGTCCGGCTATGGGATGCAGCGACGCAGCAGCCAGTTGGTGAGCCCTTGGAAGGGCACACTCATTCGGTCAATCCAGTCTCGTTTTCTCCGGATGGGACACTCATCGTTTCTGGTTCGTTCGATCGATCTGTCCGGCTGTGGGATGCAGGAACGGGGAAGCCTGTCGGTGAGCCCTTGCTGGGGCATACTGGTGGGGTTATGTCAGTCTCGTTCTCTCCAGATGGGACTCACATTGTCTCTGGTTCGACCGATAAGACTGTCCGGCTGTGGGATGTGGCAACAGGGAAGCCTGTTGGTGAGCCCATGGAGGGGCACACTCATGGGGTGATATCAGTTTCGTTCTCGCCAGATGGAAGTTACATCGTGACAGGTTCGGAAGATTGTACTGTCCGGTTGTGGGATCCAGCAACAGGGAAGGCAGTCGGTGAGCCCTTACTGGGGCACACTAGTTATGTCAACTCAGTCTCGTTCTCTCCGGATGGGACTCGCATCGTTTCTGGTTCAGATGATAAGACAGTCCGGTTGTGGGATCTCGCCACAGGGCAACCAGTCGGCGAGCCCACCAATTCCAATTCCATTACCTCAGTCTCGCTATCGCCGGATGGGACCTGCTTTGCTACTGGTTCAAGAGATGGCACTGTCCAGCTGTTCGATGCAGTGACAGGTCGTCCAGTTGGTGAGCCCTTGTTGGGGCACACTGCTTATGTCTGTTCAGTCTCGTTCTCACCAGACGGGACTTGCATTGTGACTGGTTCTCAGGATAAGACTGTTTGGCTGTGGGACGCAGGGATGGGGCAGTTAGTGGGTGAACCTTTCCGTGGGCACACTGGCGAGGTTACATCAGTCTCGTTCTCTCCGGATGGGACTCGCATCATTTCTGGTTCTGACGATAAGACAGCCCAGTTGTGGGATGCAGGGACAGGGAAGCTAGTTGGTGAGCCCTTACTGGGGCACACTAATTGGGTTTGGTCAGTCTCATTCTCGCCGGACGGAACTCGCATTGCGACTGGTTCTGCAGATAAGACTGTCCGGTTGTGGGACGCAGGGACGGGGCAGTTAGTGGGTGAGCCTTTCCTTGGGCACACTGATCAGGTTTACTCGGTCTCGTTCTCTCCGGACGGGACTCGCATCGTTTCTGGTTTTTTTTTGTTTTTTTTTTGGCCAGTGTTTATTGTCCGTTGGGGCATAGCCCTATGGTAGACAAAACATGCGAGTATTTACTGTAGCGTACTATTTGTTTATGTGTGTCCGGTGGTGTACAATCATTGGTCCAGGTGGAATACGAGGACAGTTAAGGCCAGCTAAAGGCGATAGTGGGAGTGCAAGCTCGTTCATTCTTCTTCGTCATCTTCGTCTGCGGGTGGTGTGACGTCACCAAAGGTCTGTTCCATTCTGTGTGTACTTGCTATGAAGCGCAGTAGAGGTTTGATACACTTTGAATTGTTCAGCAGGTTCTTGAGGTGATTGGTCTGCGGGCCGAGTTCGAATTGGAGTGCAAGGCGTTGTGTTATGTACTTTGGGCAGGTGATTATAAAATGGTGGACCATTTCCTCGCGTTCGCCGCATTGCTGACATTTGGGGCTGGGTACTTTTGCGATACGATGTAGGTGCTTGTTTAGCGGGGCGTGTCCTGAACGAAATTGGAAAAGGAGTGAAGAGTGTCGGCGCGGGAGTTTTTCTATCAGCTTTGAGAAGTGTTTCGAGGGAGCCGTTGCGTCGATTTCATGAAGGCGTTTGTATCGCGGTGAGTTTTTCATGATGTTTGATGATTCTTCTTTGATTATTCGTCCAAACTGCTGCTTTAGCGCCGACTTGCTGATGGGGAGGATGATTGCCGCATTTGTTCTTGTGGTGAGGAGGGATTTGGGGAGTTCGTTAGGTGCGCTACTGTTTCCTCTGGCTGCCATCTTCGCTTGCTCATCGGCTGCTTCATTGCCTGGAATTCCGTGGTGGCCTGGGGTCCATCGTACGGTCAACTTGCGTTCGTCGTGTGCGGGTATGAGCTTGCGCAGGTCATCATGGAATTTATCCATAAGGTAGTGACCGGGTTTGGAGACGAAGGCCTTGGTTGCCCAGATGGCGGCTTGGTTGTCAACGCCGAGGGCCATTGATCCTTCTCCTCCTTCCTCTTTCAACAGCTCTATTGCCAAGATCATTCCTACTAACTCTCCCTTGTAGACCGTGTGCTCCTGGTCTCCTCCTAAGTAGAACCTCTTTGTTCCTACTACTTCGCCATTCCTTATCAATACTGCCGCTCCTCCTACTCCTCCGTCTATTGCCGAGCCGTCAGAATATGCTTGAAGGTCTTCATCTGCACCTTCATCGTCGTTGACGGCTGTGGCTGCGTCTGCCGCCATCTCTGTTGCGACGTCCGGGGCCCATTTGGGGTAGTGTCGTATTGGCTCAATTGTTTCTACTGTGTGCGGGTTGAGTCGAAATTCATTGAGTAGGCGGTGTATGGGTGATGGGTGTCTCTTGCAGCTTCCGAAGTCTCTTCTGGTACAGGCATTGTACGCTGTGCGGATGCCCTTGTAAAGGGGGTGCGACTTATGCATCGTGATCATGCGTAAAGTGGCTCTGTGGCACACTTTGCGTAATAGCTGTTGAAAAGGGAGTATGTCAGCATGTGCGTCTAAGAGATCAGTAGCAGAGGTTCTCATTCCCCCCGTTATCATAGTGGTTGCCATCCGCTGAACTCTGGCCATCTTCGATGCGAAGCCTCTTGCTCCGCGGCCAGCATTCTTCCTTCCCCTTCCTTTTGCGACAAGTCCGGAGCACCAGATGTCTGCCGCGTAGAGCATCTTGGGGATGACTACTCCTTCGTACAGTTTCTTGAGTAGTCGGCCATGGACACCTTTCATAGCTCGAGTCATGCGTTGGCATGCCATTGTGTACCGAGTTCCTTTTGCTAAGGCGTAGGTTGCATGTTCTTTAAAGGTCAGTTCATCATCGACTATGACTCCAAGAAATTTGTGCGATCTTGATGGTTGAATGATGTGGTTGCGGATGGAGATAGGTGGGCGGGGAACTGGGATGGTCTTTCCGCGGCGATTGGGGTCTGCTATTCGATGTCTTGATAGACATAGTAGGGCCGTTTTATCTAGTTCAAAGTCAGCCAGACCATTCAGTCAAAACCCCACATAGAACCTGTACCCCGGACATGCCAAAAGGCCGTAGACCATGTGCAGCCAGAGGCTGGCCAGCTGTACTAAATTTATGTAGATGTGGCACTGGCCAGCCCGTAGAGGCTTATCCTAGCCAATATCAATTCTACATACAGTAATATTCTACTAGCTATATACTAGAGTACCAGACCTGCCAGAGATGTAGGACAAGTGCTGGCCAGATATTGAATGGGAGATAGGAGACCCGTAGAAACTGACCAGCCAGACATGTAGAGCCTGTGCTGGCCAGATATTGAATGGGAGGTAGGAGACCTGTAGAAACTGACCAGCCAGACATGTAGAGCCTGTGCTGGCCAGAAGTGAAATGGGATGTAGGAGACTGGTAAAAACTGACCAGCCAGAGACCTAGAGCCTGTGCTGGCCAGAAGTGAAATGGGAGGTAGCTGACTGGTAGAATTCAAACAAGTACCAGAAGCAAGTCCAGCATATTTTTTCTCTGAACACCAAAATCACAAGGGTGGTATAATGGTGATAATATAGTTAAGATACCATAATCATCTTGTCCTTGAATGAATTCTCTGCATTGAGCACAAATCTTTCCCATAAGAGCACCTGCCGTTGTGCATAAGCTTGATGCCCAAGCCTTGTGGCTTGTTGATATCTTTTGTCCCATTCACCCATCTTGTGCCTAAACCAGCCAACCGTCCAACCCATCTCATGCCGAACCAAATTTAATTCCTCCTCCCACCTTTGCCACCTAGCCTTAGCTTTTAACCAATTGACCCTGTAGACTAATACTTGTGGTAAGAATGCATGTTGACGATTAAGTACCACTCACATTCATCCATCCACAAGTCTTGGTGAACATCACCACCATTGTTGACCCTCCAAAACCAAGCTAGTCTGTCTGATCCCTGACCATATCTATTCTCCTCTGTCACTTCCTGGTTTACGGTGAGCTGGTTGGGCTGAATTTGTTGATAAACATTCCTGAGAGTTTCTTCATCCACCCCTAGTCTCCCCATGGCATCCCTTGCCCTTTGATAACTTCGAACACACTTATCTATTTTTATTCGGCACCGAAAAGCCTCTTGCTTTGACCTGGTGCCCACCCAGGTAGAATCCGAACTCCGGAAGTGTTGCCGATAAATGATTGCTTTATGACCAAGGGCCTGCCGTAACCTTTCTAGGCAATCGTTTGCCTGACCCTGCCATAACTGGAGTTCTTCGCTCCGCAGAGCACCCAAGTCAAGGGCTAGAGCATCCTGGTGTGATATTGATGATGGCATCCAAATACCCATCACTTCTGCAGGAACTTCATCACCGATCTCTTCTGAAGTAAACTCAACATCTCCAACTTCTTGCCCTAGCTCCTCGGTATCTGCTGTGCAAAACCTGATGTCATCCATGGGCATTGTACCTGAGTTTAATTCGATGCCTTGCGTCATGGCATCAGTTTTTTCGTGATATTTTGAGATCCAGACAGCTAATTTTTGACGTTTTTCTGCCACCACAGCCTTTTGAGTAGCAGATGCATCTTGGGGAAGCTGCCGAATATCTACTCGCAATGCATCCCTAGGGCTGAATTGAAACATGTGTGAATGCAAAGGTGATTAAATGACTTACCGTGCATCCTCCAAATTGATACCTTCAATAAGCCAAGATACCAATCCCAATTTGCCAGTATCAGCATATTCGGTTTCGGTTAATTTAAGCCGTATTTCCGCCATTGTTGGTGCTTCGAATCACCCATCAGAATGTACATGGCATGGAAGCCGGTAGAAGCTCTGGAACACTCACCTTTATCTATTCTTAGACGGTATATGTCGAGATGCTCCCCCCTCAGCTCCATTGCTTGTTTCTCATCACTTTCCCACAAGCTGACTTTGTTGACATCCAAAGATTTCGTAAGATCTTCAAATGGAATCCTTGTGTCATCAATGCCCTTATCCGCACGTTTGTACTTTCGTAACAGGGTCTTAACTGATAATATTTAATCAAAGTCTCATTGATTCCAAATATGAGACTCACTGATACCAACAAGTTTTTTCCAATTCGAGTTCCGCATATGGTCATCAAGGATTTCTTGACGGTGGGCTTGACTCATGGAACAGGCTGTTGGGGATATCTTATTGAAGGGAGCCCAGAGTGTCTCCAGGATTTCGCCATCAACCTGGGCAGCTCCAACAATGAAGTTCAGGCTGTATCTAGCAAAACAAGCTAGTTTATGAGCGCTGAGATGAAATTTCCCTACAGCAGCTATAATCTCCACATTGTCAGGGAGCGTCAGGGCAGGGCAGTTGTCAACACGCTCTGCAAAGTGAAGGTTCCACTGACACCCCACATCATAAATGACGAGAGAGGTATCAATTCGGTCCCCAGAGTGCTTAATACCCTCACATATGGAGTAATCTATATTCATGTGGCTTAACAGGATTTTGTCAGCATATTTAGGTCATCACATAATAAATCAAAGAAGACTTGCCGTTCACCCTTCTGGAAGTCTACTACAGAGTGTGGAACAAAACATCCATGCCTAGCACAAGCTGTGGCACCCACCCCAGTGGCTCGAAGGTTGCTCCGGTTTGCATTTGCTGCATTGACTGCCCGATGGTTGCTACATGTGGACCTCTTCTGACACATTGAGAATGCCACTGAGAATTAAAAATCAATTAGTTGGCTGACCTCTTTGCTTTCCATTGCTGAGCTCAAGTGAGCTTGATATTCAGCATCAGTTACCACGTAACCTGAACCATCTGAGAGGAAGATGTCTAATTCAGGCTCACGCATGTTCATATGCTGAGCAGTGAAGTTTCCATCAACTACCAATCTCCTCATAACTAGCCACCTGCAACCAACAATTAGCTTTGTTTGACCTTAGTTAAGCTACAACAGAAACAGCGACCGGGCGGCTCCCAACTACTCCTGGCCAGCATTTAGTCTACCCTGGGTAGAACTGAGGCTGGCCAGCTTGATCCCCAGCTAGACTGACTGGCCAGGATATGTGATAGCAGCCGTAGTAGGTGTACTGGCCGGAGCATTTAATAATCAAACAACTTGCCTTTCATACTTCTGCTCCCACAGCAAAGGCATATTGATTCCCGGCTGTGGACACGAAGGGCAGAAGAGAGCCAGATCTCCTGGGCCAGGCCCTGATTCCATATCGTGGCCGAATCCAAACCATTTTCGGTTCTTTAAGTCCCGCCACAGTCGGGATACTCTCATGAGTTCACGGTACCGATCCTATCAATGCACGCTAGGTATTCAGAAAAATCTACTGATCAAGTGCACTCGAACTCACTGGGACAGTATCCTGGAATGCATTATTAGTCAACCTTGTGAGTTTCTCAAAGAAGCTCCTCGCGGAGGTTTTGCATTCCAAGGCGTCAATGAGAAAATGATCCAGCACCTCGAAGGTAAAAGCAGTCTTGGGACGGGTGGAGCTGGCAGGAAATAGTCCAGCTCTTAGGAGCTGTAGATGCTGTTCGGAATCGGATCCCTGGCAATGACACCATGCTATATTATGTGTGAACACCCCAGAAGAATGTACAATAGTGACCAGGGTGGTATCATGGGGCAATGCGTCAACCTCCTGGTCACAAAGTTGTGAAGCTTCATACCAAGGGCAAGACTCTCCACCGTGTCCTAAGTACCATATAAAACCCTGGTCAGCTAGAGTGACATCCTCGAAGCACTTCCCGATCCACAATTGGATTTTGTGAAAAGGTAATGACTGATGCAACTTGATCATGCAAGGGCGACACCAGCTGTGGTCTCCAGTGCAAGTCGAACAACTGAATATGGCCTCAGCACTTTGGCAAGTCTCGCAGGGGCCAGCACGGATAAATTGTTCTGATTCCAGGATGATGTCTAGATATAGATCCCGGTAGGCAAGATACTCTGCTATAAAGTTGTTTTGCATCTATATTATGTATTATGAGAAGAGAGTTATCTGTAAGATACAAATTGTGGGTTGTACCTTGGTTTTTCTTGCGTGCTGAGTAGCCTCTCCTTCTAGACCAAAGTCACCAAATGTCTCGATGTCTGGGAAATCCATCGAGGCCTCCTTTGCTCGCTTCCTGGGGCTGGAGGAGGAGGAACGCCCTCCTGATATTTCATACAGTGGATCAGCATGAGATTCGAGCCACGAGGGCTTTCCCCTCTTTCCTGCCGTAGGTTTGTAGGCAATATAGTTGACATCCAGGTCTTTTCGTTGTGACAAACTACCCCTGTCTTTGAAAGAATATGAAACAGCCTTCAGACGGGTTTTTTTCTGGCCAGACATAACACTTGGACCAAGGAATGAGAATGAGCACTCCAAAATAAGGCAAGCAATGCAACTGAAAATCGATCTCCATCAAATCCAGCCGTATCTCCTCTTGATAGATTAATTAACTCTATTTACCGTCTAACTGCTACCCCCCCGCGCCCAACTCCACTTATTTTTCCCACCTTCTTCCCACAAACAGGTTTCAGACCTCTACCAGCCCCCACTCGCTTGAGAAAATCCTGCTCAATTGGAAAGCTCGGCCTTGGGATGTCCTGCTTATCGTGGACCTTATCCTTGACAAAGTGGGCAATCACAATCCTCTCACCATCACCCCAACCTGGGACTCCATGTTCCAACACCTTGCCTGCAATATATACCATAGTCCCAGGGGGGTAACCTAGTTCGGCGCCCAAGTCCGGCAGATCTAGTATGGCCTGGTTGGCTTGGCCAAGGCTAACCAGAAGGTCGTAGAATGATGGTGATGCTCCTGGATCTCGGTGATGGGGTGTCTCTCGATTGACAATTACCTCAATTCCCGAAAAGACAGAGGGCCAAACAACTGGTTTTGAGGTACGAACCATATTCTTCAGCGCAGAGACCGATTTGATGCCAGCAAGATACTGATCTGGCGCAATAATACTAGTAATAACCGACCAGAGTTGTTCTGGGACAGTCATTTCGGACAACCAACGCCGAACCACAGGCGACCCAAGGTCGGTTGATTGGTACAAATGATCTTGAAGATGCTAGCTCCATTAAGTTACTTTTGTACTTAAACAAGCATAGGAAGACAAACTTACCTCTTGGCGCTGCATGAATCCACCAGGGCATAAAGTCACCCGCCCTGCTCCGAACTCTCCCCCCCCTGGAGGTATGACAAAACCTTGCGAACGCCAAGGGCTCTTTTCCTCTTCAGTTGCCTTGGCCAAAAACCGGTCTAGGACAGGTCTGAGCGACTTGACCGTGCTATTGACGTGTTCCTAAATATAAACAGTTACCCGGTCTTCGACTGCATATCTGAAAGTTGTCATACCATTCAATCAGGCACCAAGATCTCTGGCAAATACCAAGCGAGTATCCTTCCATGCTTGTCAACAAACGTGGTCGGCTCCGTAATGTGGCCGAAGGAAGGGGTCTTGAAATATTTTGCAAGTTTCTCTCTTTGTTGGCTGTCAGCATTCAACGGGTTTGGTGCCACCTTAGCTCGGTCTGCAAAGCGGTGGACGTCCCAATCCGCCCTTACTGGGGTCAAACAATCACAAACAGACTCTGGTGAAATTCAAATAAAAGCCTACAACTATTAACGGCGGCATAAGCTATGCCAACTGCAGCCCTGGAGAGTTCAATCTCGGAAATCTCTGTTGTCTTGACACCTATACCAGAACTGGAAAGCTGAACGTTCCGCCACTCGTTCCAGAGTCTCATCCTTAAATTTGTAGCAACTTAGCCTGACCAAATGTTAACTTAGAACTGGCTTACTTTGCTTTTTGTAGTGTTCTATCGTCCATCTTAGTATCTGAGAATAATTCAAATGGTGATGAATTCCGGAGTAGCTCATCTACGCGGCTAGAGAGGTTTTTGGACAGTTTTGTCATAGTATCCTCCATAGCAGAAGAAGCAGAAGAACAGAAGATTAATGGCACCAGGAAAATTTTTCCAGTAGTTTGGAGCTAGGCTATATGGGGATATACCAAATGAGATTGCTAGGGCGATGTATGCGATGGCTTCTTGAGTACTTTAGCCGGATTTGAGGATAGGCTGTTAACCTCATGATAAGCGGAACTGGTAGGATGATGGTTTGTAGGAGACTACTGACCCCATGATATACAGTACAAGAATAGTTTAGTCTGCTTGGGTGCGCACTGGTCGGACGTGTGAGGTGATGTAGGCGATGGCTTCTTGAGCAGCTTGGACAGGTGCAGAAGACCAAGTCTGCCTATACCGCCATGCGGTTTATTGGGCATATCCTTCCCGCCCAGTACAAGAATAGAAGAATAGTCCGACTATTCTGGTACTGGGCAGCAAGCTTGGCAAAGCTGCTCAAGAAGCCATTGCCTATGTCACCTCACACATCCGACCAGTGCGCACCCAAGCAGACTATACTATTCTTGTACTGTAAGGAAGATAGTATAATGTTGGTATCCAGTACAAGAATAAAAGACTATTCTGATACTGTGCGGGCAAGCTTGGCAAAGCTGCTCAAGAAGCCATTGCCTACATCACCTCACACGCCCGCCTAGTACAAGAATAGTTTCACTATTCTTGTACTGGGCAGCATACCAAATGGTTTCTTGAGTAGCTTGGTCAAGCTCAGACACAATCTAAACCAGGCGGCGGTATAGGCAATGGTTTCTTGAGAAGCTTTGTTAAGCTTAGACGAATTTGAGGGCAGGCTGTTAAGCTCCACTAGAAGATCTAGAACAGCATGACTTACTCTGACGTTCCGACTTGTCAGAGATGCTGCTCAGAATTCTACTTGGGTGGGATAGAGGTCGGTCACGTGACTTATTGTGGGGGCAAGACAGGGCGCCACGGACGGTCACGTGACTTTTTACTAGGGGCGGGAAGGGGCGCTCAGCCTTTCTTTTGAAAGTTTTTATTAAGTTAAAGCTATTACAGGCCAAAGCAAATGTAAAGTAAAGAAAATAAAATACTAAGATATACGAAATGAGGTAAACTGGCTAATACAAAGCCTCGGCGGAGGGGCCCTCCCCACCTTGGCCTTGTACAGCAAACTACTACAAGAAAGAATTGAATATATATATAAACAGATTAAGAACAGTCTGCGGGCGCTGAGTTAGCACCTGTGATGTGAATATGAATCAAAATTACCTGATGATGAATTTCCAAAAAAAATCTGTAAGCGGCGGTCAGAGAGTGTTCCTAGAATAATGAGACAAATACCTTAGGCGCGCTGGTGCGCAGACCAGACCTCCCTGCCCAAGATTGATGAAGGAGGGTGGATAGGTACACCGGCGTGCACACTAAACCACCCCCCAAGCCCCCAGAGTGTTCAAACAGAGAGACTAGGTGCGCCGGCGCGCACACTAGACCTCCCTGCCCAAGATTGATGGAGGAGGGTGGATAGGTGCACCGGCGTGCGCACTAAACCACCCCCCAAGCCCCCAGAGTGTTTAAACAAGGAGACTAGGCGCGCCGGCGCGCACACTAGACCTCCCTGCCCAAGATTGATGGAGGAGGGTGGATAGGCGCACCGGCGTGCACACTAAACCACCCCCCAAGCCCCCAGAGTGTTCAAACAGAGAGACTAGGTGCGCCGGCGCGCACACTAGACCTCCCTGCCCAAGATTGATGGAGGAGGGTGGATAGGTGCACCGGCGTGCGCACTAAACCACCCCCCAAGCCCCCAGAGTGTTCAAACAGAGAGACTAGGCGCGCCGGCGCGCACACTAGACCTCCCTGCCCAAGATAAATGTCACTAGAGAGGAAGAAGCATTGTAAGCTTAAGAGTGCGCAAGATAGTACTCACCTTGTTATGAAAAAAAGACCTATGAAAGAACCAAACCAGCGTTCAGTAAGGATTTTGAGATAAAAAGAATTATACCTAAGTTAAATTGAGGCCGCTCATTGACCATTAACCGCTTACACAGCTGCAGCCTGTGTAAGTGGCTAATGGGATGAGCCGGTGGTGTTGAGTGGAGAGGAAGAATGAAAAGTCAACCGTGTGAAACATTGGTGACGCGGCTATAAGCTACAACATATTTGCCATTGTTTACAACCAGTCACGTGACTGGTTCAATCGGCCAGTACAGATTCTGCATCTCGCACCTCTCTTCTTCCTTCATTCTTTTTACTAAGTTTGATTCTTTTTTAGGAATATGGCTAAGAATACCACGAAGAAGCGTGCCGCCGGTGGGGTTGCTAGGCGACTCACTGGTCCTCTGGGATCGCCGGTTGCCTCTCCTCCTCCAGTAAGCCCTGAAGGGGAGGCTGGGGTGGTACAACCAGACGCCCACAGCTCGGTAAGTGCTTTCTTGGTGCGTCTATTGTTGCTAATGTTTGTCAGTGGTGCTTGATTTGCCGTGATGGCGCCGAGGGGGACGTTGTACTCTATGAGTGCAGCACCTGCCCTCGGGTAATGTGCAGCAGGTGCCTGGACGTTCCGTCCGCCTCTTGCGACCTTGTTGCTCAACCGGACGTTCTTTTTTGGTGCCTTAGCTGTCATGCTGGGCACACCCTTAAGGCACCTGCGCCTTACTATGTGAGTTATTGTTTTTATATCTTAAAACAAACTAAACTAATGACTACAGGGTTTCTATAGAGAAAACCTGCCGGCTCAAGGAGGTAAACCTGCCCTGCAGGGTTTCCTCCAACTGAACGGCAGGTTTGAGACTGGATCCTGCGCGGTGTTGGCCGCTGCGCCCATCGCCGTCATCCACTTCATTGTGGGTGGCAGTAATGAGGTTGTGACGCCCGTGCCTCTGCTCTCACACTATCTGGAGCATTACTTCCCCAACGGCGGGTACATTTACATTGAAGTCCCATTCGACGTCACCACGCACAAGAGCATCCGCGGATACACGCGTGCCCAGGACGCACACATCATCCAGCTCAAAACTCACCTCACACACAGCGGCCGCATCTTGGCCTTCTTCTCTGATCACTCTGAGGAAGATAGCGGGTGGCTTTTTGCTGGGAAAGATAAAGGTAAATTTGTGGCTATGAGTGTCTCTCAGGTAAGGTCTCTATTATTTCGCATTTTTCTTGACTTATGTGATGTTTAGGTGCTATCTACTGTCCTAGGGCCCTATTATGGGATCCTCAGCGGCGCCACCATGATATTCCTAGTGTGCGGCTCTGTTGTGGCCCACGACAACGCCTTTAGCGAGCTCCAGGAAGCTCTACTCAACTACGGTGTGGCGTCCGCTATCATTTTCACCGCCAAACGTTTTCAACCCCTGGTTGCCACCAACTTTTTGCTCGCTCTAGCGGAGCAAGTGGTAATTGAGCAGCTCAATGTCCGCATCGCATTCCCCAGTCTTCTCTCCCTCTCCAGTCGCCTTGGACAACATACCAATGTCATTTTGATGACCAGGGATTACGCCCATGCTCCTTGTCACCAAGTTTGCGCGTGCCCACCTGCAGACTCAACCTTGGGGTATCCCAGTCCCTTCGCAGTGCCCTCTCTGTGGGTCCACTAACAGTTGGTCTGAGAAGGTCACGGTCAAGGTGTCCTATGAGTCTCTGGACCCCGATGTTCCAGGCAAGGATCCTGTGTACAGGTACCTATATTCCTGCACTTATCCTGAGTGTGGTAAGGCTCAGTGCAAGCCTTGCCACAAGTTTCACATCGAAAAACCACCTGGTTCCATTCTCAAAGCTGCTAAGACAAAGTCGTCTGGGTGGTTCCAGTCCCCTTCCACAACTTTTCCGGCACTACCTTTCATTGAGTCGGGCACCCAAGGCAAGCGTCCTAGAAGTTCGGATGGGGAAGTGTCTGCTAAGAGGATGAGGGTCTGATTTATCTCACAAATAGTTAGTTTGGTAGATGTTTGTTTTGCAATAATTCAACTTGATTTGGTGTGCTTACCCTATGTTCTGAGAGAGCGGTAATGACCAGTTCTGGCATCACTCTAGCAACCGGGTTGACACGTTGATCGGAGTCACGTGATCGCGTTTGTGTTGGAGTCGCCAATGGCCGACTCTTGGCTACGTTGCGCATACCCTTGACTTCATTCTCCTGTCTTACTTTAATTATGAAACTCATCATGTCTGGATGGCACGTATCTTTCGAGGACATACTTGCTCTCCATCAGAGCGACTTTGTGGCTGCATCTCAGGAAACGCGCCTAGGTATTCTGAGGACAGTCCGGGATCATATCATTGCAAAAAACAAGTCACAGGAGGAATCGGTTGAGTTGCCAAAGGCATTGAAAAAGGTGTGGTCAAATTTTGGTATATTTAATAACTAATTTTACAGTAATACAAAGGCTATCAGGTGTTACTACTGCCAATTTTTAACCGATGAAGATGACTTACAGGCAGAAGAAGAGCTTTTGCGAGATGAGCAAGAGGACGGGACATCTAGCCTGTCCCCTGAGGAGAGGGAGGCAGGTGCCCGTCCTAAAGATGCGGCCTTCTACAAGAAAGAAGTTAGTGACTGGGATGTTGCCCAGAGGCTATTTAAGCAGGAGATTGACGAGTATGATAAGGAGGAGCAAGCGAAGTTAGGGGTAAAAAATGAAATCAAGTATAGAACCGGTCATGCTAGAGATTGGTTCAAAAACATGACCCCTGCACAACGGAAGGAGGTTGAGAATGCAAGGGAAAAGTGGAACAAGGAGGGTGCTCCTCCGGAATCGCAGACAATGTGAGTGTTTAAAACGACTATTCAGGTTCTCCTATTAACTACCTTGGCAGGTATCGAAAGAGGCACTTGAAAAAAATTCTGGAAGACTTTACCGAACAAATCTGTCGTACCATGGGATGTCAGGTTATGATCCTAGCCAGTCACAAGAAACTTGCAGACCAGACTCTAAATGTTGTGGTGTGAGTGTATTTCTAGCACTTTGGTCTTATGGTATAATGACGGTTTGCTATCATCATTTAGTCACGAGTCCAAGCCGGTCAACAGTAAAAAGCCCTTTACTCAGAGTTCACGAGGGAATAAGGAATGGATGTCTGAGGGTTTTGAAAAATTTGCGGAATGGTCAAAGTTAGAATTCTGTGAGTGTTTATTGTTCTAAAATTTTCACTGTAATTAAGGAACATTCAGACCCAGAGGAAAATGATGACGACTCAAATGACAAAGAGGAAGGCGATGGCAAACCTAGCCTACCTGACGTCATTTTGGACAAAACCGGTTACGCGAAGCTTCCCTCACGAGCTGGAGTTGCTGCCAGAGGGCAACAAGAATTGGTGCATCAGATATTCCGTGCATCTTACAGTGAGTGTTTGTCTGCTTTGCTGGTTTTTGTGCAACTTACACTATGTTATACAGAGGTCTTCATGGACACTACCAAACCCGTACCTTGGCGTGAGGTGGTGGCAAACCCCTCTCTCTACCTGGACCCCAATTCCGTTCCAGAAGGCTTCATCTTGAGAGACCCGTCTCATATGAGGGCCGAAAATATCAATCAGCTGTGGGCTCATTGGGAGGCTAGGAGGGCGGCGAAGAAGAAGCTGGTGATTTTCAATGCAGCTAAAATTGGTGATATGAGCAAGGAACGACTTCGGAATGCGGTTCCCCACCAGCAAAAAACTAAGAAGATGTATGTAGAAATCGAGCCAGTCACCGCTTCTAGCTCCAAAGGAGCAGCCAGCACACACCCAACGCATCGTACGACTAGGCTGGCCAAGGACGCTTCCTCAGAAAGCAAGTCGGCTGGAGCACCATCTACAGGACATAGGACAAACCTGGCCAAAAGTGACCCCTCTGAAGATGAGTCGGCTGCAGCAGCCTCCAGGGGACGTAGGACCACAACGGCTGCCCGACCTTCCAGTGCTCAGCAGGGCGCTCCTGCAACAGTTCCCATGAAAGATCGAATCCCGTTCTTGAAGTCCCTCAGCAGCAACAACGAATACCTGCTTTTAGTGGAGGGCATCAGAGACTTGAGAAAGGTATGCTATCAATTGACCGAGTCATACTTCATACTGACGAAGCCTAGGAACCAAGTTTGAACCAGCAAAAGGGATGGCCTGCCTGGGCAACTTGGTCCTGGGAAGGGTCTTACCTTCCAAATGACGTGCACTGCTTAGATGGTGAGGTGCAGAAGTTCTTAGCAACAGCTACCTCTACGGAGATCACTGGCTTGCCATCTGCAATGCGAGTCGCACTAGGTCTTGGATTGCTGCTCAGGGAGTGTAAGCGAGCCATTGAGTATGAGGCAGACGAGGCCGCCTTGGAGACTCCCACTTGCGTTAGCACCTCGATCTTGGATATCAAGATGCTTGACCGGGTCATAGAGGCGGTCAAGAAGGTCAGAGGTGGGCTCATGCATCTACTGAAGTCGAAGGACGTTCAGCAGGAACCTGCTATCCTTCATAAGGCTGCTCTTGGAGACGGACTTGGAGCTGAAGATGGTGCTGGTGATGATGCAGATGGCGAAGAGGGAGTAGTGAGGGGACAGATGAGTCTGAAGCTGGCAGATGAGTTGCAGAAGGTTAAGGAGGAGAATATGAGGAATCAGAAGTTGAGGGAGGAGAATCGGAAGCTTGAAGAGGCCCTGAAGGAGCTGCAGGAAGCCAACAGGCTCCTGGCAAAAGTGCGGGAGGAGGAAGAGAAGTGTGTAGCGGGAGAACAGGGGAATGAGGAGGTATTGGTGGAAGAGGACAAGGATGGGGAGGATGGGGAGGACGAGGAGGAAGTGGTGGTAGAGGGGAAGGGGAAGAAAAGAACCAAGTCTGGTGGTTCTAGAAAGCCATCCAAGAAGGCCAAGGGTGATGTCCGCCGATTCTCCAGAGCTAAGCAGCCCACTGAGAAAGCCATGAAGCTTTAGCATTTTGTCACATCGCTCATAGTATATTGCTCACATCTATATCATGTTGCTCATATCAATACACATCAAATATTATGATATTTTGCTCTGTCCATGGTCAGTTCCTACCAGTCTCCCACCTCCCATTTCACTTCTGGCCAGCACAGGCTCTACAGGTCTGGCTGGTCAGTTTCTACGGGTCTCCTACCTCCCATTCAATATCTGGCCAGCACAGACTCTACATGTCTGACTGGTCAGTTTCTACGGGTCTCCTACATCCCATTTCACTTCTGGCCAGCACAGGCACTATAGGTCTGGCTGGTCAGTTTCTACGGGCCTGCTACCTGCCATTTGATATCTGGCCAGCACAGACTCTACAGGTCTGGCTGGTCAGTTTCTATGAGTCTCCTACCTCCCATTCAATATCTGGCCAGCACAGACTCTACATGTCTGGCTGGTCAGTTTCTACGGGTCTCCTACATCCCATTTCACTTCTGGCCAGCACAGGCTCTACAGGTCTGGCTGGTCAGTTTCTACGGGTCTCCTACCTCCCATTCAATATCTGGCCAGCACAGACTCTATATGTCTGGCTGGTCAGTTTCTACGGGTCTCCTACATCCCATTTCACTTCTGGCCAGCACAGGCACTACAGGTCTGGCTGGTCAGTTTCTACGGGCCTGCTACCTGCCATTTGATATCTGGCCAGCACAGACTCTACATGTCTGGCTGGTCAGTTTCTACGGGTCTCCTACATCCCATTTCACTTCTGGCCAGCACAGGCTCTACAGGTCTGGCTGGTCAGTTTCTACGGGTCTCCTACCTCCCATTCAATATCTGGCCAGCACAGGCTCTACAGGTCTGGCTGGTCAGTTTCTACAGGTCTCCTACATCCCATTTCACTTCTGGCCAGCACAGACTCTACATGTCTGGCTGGTCAGCTTCTACGGGTCTCCTACATCCCATTTCACTTCTGGCCAGCACAGGCTCTAGGTCTCTGGCTGGTCAGTTTTTACGGGTCTCCTACATCCCATTTCACTTCTGGCCAGCACAGGCTCTAGGTCTCTGGCTGGTCAGTTTTTATGGGTCTCCTACATCCCATTTCACTTCTGGCCAGCATAGGCTCTACATGTCTGGCTGGTCAGCTTCTACGGGTCTTCTATCTCCCATTCAATATCTGGCCAGCACTTGTCCTACATCTCTGGCAGGTCTGGTACTCTAGTATATAGCTAGTAGAATATTACTGTGTGTAGAATTGATATTGGCTAGGATAAGCCTCTACGGGCTGGCCAGTGCCACATCTACATAAATTTAGTACAGCTGGCTAGCCTCTGGCTGCACATGGTCTACGGCCTTTTGGCATGTCCGGGGTACAGGTTCTACGTGGGGTTTTGACTGAACTATGTGAGTCAGCATTGTGTTCTCTACTCCAATCTAAAGCACCTCCTGGTTTTTCCATCATTCTCTTGAGTTTGTGGTTTGCATCTTCTTAGGTTTTTCCTCGTGCTGCTATGGCGATGTCATCTATGAATCCTAAACTAAGTTCTCCCCGGCGAGGGTTGGGGTCAGCTATTCGGAGGACGGGTGAGTTATAAAATAAGAATCCTATTACTGATAGAGGGCATCCTTGGTCAACTCCATTTGAGACGTTGAATGGGTCGGAGCGGTGGTCGTCGAAGTGTAAAGTAGTTGATCTGTTACTTAGTCGTTTTCGGTACCAGTCGATGTACTCCAGTGGGATGCCAGCGTGTCGCATGTTGTGAAGCATGCGGTTGACTACCACACTTGGGAATGCTGCCTTGACGTCAAGGAATAATATTGATACGAAAGGTTCTGCTGAGGCCCAGGCGTTCATTGTGAATTTCGTGAGAAGATGCAGTGAGTCGGTTGTTGATTTTCCTGGTCGTCCTCCAAAATGGGTTGGGGGGAGAAGGTTATGATGCTCTGCAATATAGACCAAGTCGTCAGTGACGCAAGATGAAAGTATCTTACCCATGGTGTCGAGTAGCGTGATGGGGCGGTATGCTTTCGGCAGACTGTAGTCTGGTCTGCCGGGTTTTCGGAGTACCACTGTCGAGGAGAGTTTCCAGTCTTCCGGATAGTGTCCGAGTTCGAATGTCGCACAGAATATGGGGCCCATGTAGGGTACAAGTAGGTCAGCACCGTTCTTATAGACACAGTTACATATGCTGTTTGGGTTTGGAGCTTTATAAGGGGAGAGTTTAGCTACAGCGCGAAAGATTTGTTCGTTAGTAATGGGTGCGAACTCGCAGATGGGTGGATTATAAACAAAGTCGGGCTCAACGTGCTCATCGTCTGGGGGTTGTCTGAAAAAGACTTCATATAGGAGTTCGCTCTTCCTGGCGTTGTCTTGCGTGGCGCTGATTCCTCCTGGGTCATTTGGATCTTTCAGAGTCTTGATCCGCGTGTGAATTTGGTTCAATGGGCTGCTGGCTGCATATTGGTGAAGGTCCCAGATGTTCGTTGGTGTGATGGCTTCGAGCCACTCTTCCCAATGATCCTTCTTCGCTTTCTTGATGTTTTCGGAGAAGCGGTTGCGAGCTAGGCGGAACTCTTCGTGGATGGGGTCTTGACGTTGGGCTAGACGGTTTCTGGCCTTCTTGCCGAGCTTATGTACTTGCTTTCGTTCAGTGCTTAGGTCGTTTGACCACCACCTTTTCGTGTAAGGTGACGGTTTGGTCTTGGGGACATGCTCTTCTACAGATCTAGCTATTGATTGGGTTAGGTGTTCAAAGAGGGCTTGGAATTCATCTAAAGATTGGATGTTAGCGGGTGGGGGTCGCGTTTCGAGTTCAGACAAAAGGGCTTCTCTGAATGCGTCCCATTCTACAGTTCTATAGTTTGGGCATTGTTCGAGGTTGATGCGTTCTGGTTGGAGGTCTAGGGTGCTAATTATTGGAAAGTGGTCAGTTTTTACAGGGCGTAGTTGGTATTCCACGGCGCATTTAGTAAACATATGTTCAATTTCAACAGAGCAAAATACATTATCTGGGCGTGTGTGGTTTTTCGTGTTTGAGGCTTCGAGGGTGGCGATGCCATGGGGTAGTGCTTGAGTGAGTGAATATGCAGCTAAGAGATTAATTAGTATGTCCACAGCGTCTAAGTTCGCTGCGGTGAATAAATGAGAGTTGCTTGTCAGGTCCCACATGGGGTGGTGACGGTTGAAGTCCCCCATCCAGATCATGTGGGCGTGGTCCACTCTGTTATCGCCTTGAGCGTTAAGTCGAGGGAGGGGACGGTGAGTAAGATTTTCGGCTATCAAGTGTCGTTCAAGGAATTGGAGCATTCGCGAATGGTCGCAGGCATTGTAGATATTGTATATACGCACCTTTCCGAAGTTTCCGTTTAGTTCAATTGCGGTGATGTTGGGAGAGTCAAGTGGTACAATATGCCAGTTGTTTTTGGATAGTTTTTTGTTGACGAGTAGGATGGATTGCGATCGTTCTGGGTTTGAGTGGTGATTGGTGGGGTATATGACGTCCCAGTATTGTCTAAGATTGGAAGCGTTAGCGAGACCTACTGGGTTGAGGAATGGCTCCTGGATGCATGCGAGATCGTAGGTATTGGGGTTGAGGTTTTGGAGCATGTGCTCCCAGGCGGTAGAGGATTTGCATAGATTTTGTTGCCAGATTTTGAAGTTGGTGTTGGGATGTTGTTCATTACGGATGTTCTGCATTAGTCAAAGTTGGAGGGAGAGGGACTTTCGGTGTAGATATCTGGGGTTGATGGCGGGTACCAGAGAGGTGTGGTGGTGGTGGATCCGGGAGACGAGTGATTTGAGGGAGGGAAGTGTTTGTTCAGTTTGTTCTGGCCTTGCGGTTGGGAGGTTAACCAATTGTTCATTAGGCGCGCCTGGGATCCCATTCCAACTGGGATTTGATTAGGGTTTTCATGAGGTTGGCGGCGTTGGGCTTGTTTTCCCCGTTGTTGGGCTGGTTGTTGCGGTTGTTGCTGTTGCTGGGGTTGTGGGTGTGGTATCTTGGTCAGTAGTCGGCCATAGTTACCATGGGTGTTGAGGTCTGTGACTGGTTGAGTCCACATCAGCTGTCTTGGTGGTTTGTTTTGTTGTTCGTGGTTGTCGCTGCTGTTTAGGCTTTCCCAGGTGAGTGGGTCATCAGTTGGGAAGTATCGGTATTTGGCGTCTTCGGAGCGGCTCTTGAAGTTTTCCCATTTGTTGATGAAGGTGGGACATTCTCGACTCCATGAGGCATGGCCCTGACAATCACAGTTAGCGCATTGATAGTAGTTAGGATCATCTACTTTGCATGTTGCCGTGCGATGTTTTGCCCCACATGTTCCACATGTGTCGTGTTCCTGGGTGCATTCTGCTGCGACGTGGGATACGTCGTAAGATTGGCATTTGAGGCAGCGCGTTGGCTCTGGGAGGAGTTTTCGGCCATAGACCTTCTTGCCTTCGATTGAGATACCGAAATGGAGGATTTGGTTGGCGCTTTCTTTGGTTCTGAGGGTGATGATGACGTGTGCTGTTCGTTGATCTGCTTTGCGGTGATTGATTGGTTTAATCCATCTTGCTTTGGTGATTGATCCCTGTTTGAGTCCTCCTTTTGCTTCGACTTCTGTGTTGGAGTGTATCGAGCTGGGGTTGTAGGAGAGGGGTACGTTTTCAACCAATATGTTGAAGGATCGGTCTTTGATGGTAGCGTTGGGGCCGAAGTTGACCGCAAATTTTCCTCTGTGGGTGGGGGTGTTGAGCCATTGGGCAGATTCTGCCGAGTCGAGTTCATATAGGATCCCTCCATGTGGGAGTCGTCGTGCTGATTGGAAGGTTAGTCCTTGGGGGATGGGGACTCCGTCTTTCTCTACTAGTTCTAGTGTTAGTTTGGCTTTTGCGACGAGCTCAGCTTCAGTTAGTCCTCTTAGCGTGTCTATCTCGCCGAATGAACGTCTGTCGATAAGGATTTGCCTTGCTTGCGCTTCACTGCGGGCTAAGATTTTGGTTAGTGGGGGCGGGGCATTAGTTCTGGCTGCGTGCGCGTAAGTTCGTGTCCCTTCAGGACTTTTAACTTTCGGGTGGTCTAATGACGCAGTAGTAGCATTCATCACTGCTTTTTCAATGCTTTCAGTTGAGTTGGAAATGTTGCCACGTAGCTCTATTGCTGCGTTTTCCAGTGCTGCTTTGTGGGCATCGGTGATTTCTGCTATTCTCACGGCTTTTTCTTCTAGTTGCGCTATGGGACCTTGTATGAGGGATGTGACTTTTTCAATGAGGTTCGCTGCATCCAGGTTTTGTTCAGCTTCGATAAGCAGGATTGCGATGGCTCGAAGAATGTCGACATGTGTTGCACCTAAGGCCGCTGTGACACTGAATTCTAGCAGGGCATGGGCCGTTTGTTTAATGACGTTGCAGGCAACAGGTAGATTGAGGCCGTGCGTCAAGAGTAGTTTTCTGGCTGCCGTTTGGTCTTTGATTTCAGATCTGATATCTGAACCAGCAAGGTGGTATTCTATTTCTCTGCTTATTGATAAAAGAGGTTTGTTGGCGGTAGTTTTTCGGCCTCTAGTGGTCGCTGTCACTGATGCAGTCTGGTTAGTATGGATGATTGGCGTTAGCGCCATGTTTTTGTGTTTTTATCGTTTTGTTGGTTTTGTTGTTGGTTTTCTTTTTATGTATTTTAGAAGCTAGTGATTAAAAGAGATAAAAGAGAAAGGAAATGAGGTGAGGAGGACATCAAAGACGTCTTTGTCGCCGTCTGGCGCAAAAGCTCGGTTGAGTTTTTCCGGGGTCCTTGAGGGGTGCCACTTGGTACGGGTCCAAGAAGCGTTTTTATCGTTTCTGGTTCGGATGATAGGACAGTCCGGCTGTGGGATACAGTAACGGGAAAGCCTGTTGGAGAGCTCTTGGAGGGGCACACTGACCGGGTTAGGTCGGTCTCATTCTCTCCGGATGGGACACGCATCGTTTCTGGTTCAGATGATAAGACAGTCCGGTTGTGGGATCTCGCCACAGGGCAACCAGTTGGCGAGCCCTTGCGGGGGCACACTGAGGTGGTCAATTCAGTTTCATTCTCGCAGGATGGGACTCGCATCATTTCTTCTTCATGGGATGACACTGTCCGAGTGTGGTATGCAGCGATTGGGAAGTCACTGAAGGACTATACCGAAGGAGACTGTTTACCATCCTCCCCACATGACAATTGCATCTCACATCCAACACCGGCCATCCCCACATCCAACACTGTGAACGATGCCTTCATTTCCTTCTCATCAGACTCGACTTATGCACTGCGTGACACTACTGAGCTACTCGCAGGTGGCCCCAATAATGACCTCAGCTCGACATCACAAAAATTGCTCAACTCAGACCGGACCATGTATGGTCATGTCTACGGTATCCAGACTGCCGGGTATATCGGCTGCCGGCCCAGGTATGTCTTGCCATCCTAGGGAACGCAAACTTCGATCAACATATGAGTCTACGTCATACTTCAGCTTGCGACATTGTTCATCGTGTAGATAATTCAGACATTGTACATCACTCAGATATATCCATGCAATCCATTGTATTTTGTATCTGTACGATACAATAAGAACATAACATGCACTGTAATGTACGAAAACGCGAGTCCATGTAGTGTAGAGTCCCTAAAAAGCATGCATCGGGAAGACGACAAGAGTGTGAGTCGGAGGTATGAGTCCATGATAAACGCGTGAAAGCATCAAAGCGCGGGAACTGAGTGAAAACGAGTCCTGTAATCGAATATATGAGTACCAGACCAATAAAACGAGAGGGAGCATACCATGCAACAAAAAACTACCTCCTGCGTGTTTGTTTCCTCACACGTTTTGCTGGCTGCTGAGCTTCCTCGTCTCCAGAATCCTCGATGCACCTGTTCTTACCCTTCCTTTTCGAATGAGTCTTTGCAGCCGGACGTTTTGACTTTCGATTGGTGATGTCATTGAGTGCGTCTTCATCGTCCGTTAAATCGCTTAACGCAGGTGACTTGCGTGAACCGGAAGCGATGTTCGAAGGAGGTGGAGAACGAGCAGGGGGAGGTGGAAGTGGAAGTGGAGTAGGAGGTAGAGATTCAGCACGAATTGCGGCTGGAGAGCTTGGAGGAGGAGTAACAGGACGGGCCGGTGGAGGGGGAGTAGCAGGACGAGCTGGTGGAGGAGGAGGAACAGGGACCGCGGGAACTGCAGAGGATTTGGCAGTGGTGGAGCCTCGCGCCGCAACCTGTGCACGCATTCTCGCCAGGCTATCCATGGAACCCGAGGAACTCCTTCCATACTCATCTGCAGATGGCCGAGCTTCCGATCCACCTTCCTGGCCGGCCTCGTTCTTGAAGAGTGACCTACCAGAAACATGATAGCTAGTAGATTCAAATGATATAAAGAAACACGTACATGTTCCACCACTTCTTGAGTTCCCCTACCCAATCTGTATCTCCACAGTCGCGAATGAAGTCAATGATATTGTGGTAAAACTCTGGGTAGTTGAAGTTGCCATCGATGTCCGACCATTTATTCTGCGCGCTGATTCCAAAACGTGCCTGCAAATTAAACAGTGTGAGACAGCATTTGCTAGAAAAGTAGGACTTACCTGTACACAAGCATAAGCAATATGCTCCGCTTCGACAGTTGTCATGTTGTGTAGCATGGCATTACAAGTTCGCGTCGCCCGTGAGTCTTGACCCAGAGCTGTTGATGGGCCCGTAAATATATGTCGCATTACCTAGGCACATTATTAGTGAGGCTGATGACTATACCGAAGAAAAACTTACACGTTCGATGAGATAGCCCTGGAGGAGGCCTTCTGTCATAGCGTCAGCGTCGTAGTCACATCCAGGGGGGTTCCCGGACCAAAGGAATGCAGGGAAGTCGTTTGCAGTCATGTGAATTCCTCCACTGGCAAGTTTCTTCTGGCCCCTGCGGAATGTGAATCTCAGTAAGAACACACTATATAAAACAACGCGTACTCAGCTGGGTCTCTGTTAAATTCTGCAAGATGCGAAACAGGACAAAGAAAGGACACTAAAACAGGGTGATTCACACCCAAATGCGATCTGGAGGGATTGCCATTGTAGATAGCAGGTCTTAAACCACCATCGGATGGAATTGGCGCCGCATAGTGTCCAATCTGCGACTTCAAACGAGCTGCATCATCTGATCGTGTCGCACTAATGACTGTATTCATCTATTACAGGTCTAAGTACACAATATATGCGCATATAAATAGCATATACTCACCTTTTGAGTGACCTTAGTCAGTTCCCTGGCCTTGGTGCGATCGTTAATGAGTGATCGAATGCTTGGAGCTAAGTGGAGCAGTTGCTGATAGTTCCGAGTATATCGATCACGAGTCTTTAATGACCTAAAGAAAACATTAGCTCAAGAAAAAATTTCAATCAAATCGGACTTACATAGTAGAGAGTCTCCTCTTGCGAGTCTCCTTCTCAGCCTCAGATTCGTCGAGCTCTCCCTTCTCCGCGGCTTCCTCTTCCTGAAGTAGACAGCCAATCTTGATGAGCTTGTCGACCTTACAAAACAAGTCGACACAACGTGCGATGCCACGCGCAGCTACCAGGTACTCCTCGTGAGGATCTTCCTTGCTTGCCTTGGATCTGTTGGATTTCCTAATAGTAATGAGAATATATTAGTTTGATCCTGATAGATAGATCACACTTACTTTGATTTTGAAGCCTCCTTGTCGGTGCTTGAGCGCACACGTTTCTTGACTTGCTTTCTTGGGGGAGGAGGATGAGAATCTTCGGAAGAACTCAGTGAGCTACTTTCGCTACTGGACGATATTGAAGATTGAGAGGAAATCGAGATTGATCTGGAACATTTTTTGGGCGCCATGATGATGGTGGGAGTAGTATGAGATTAAGATATCAAGATTCTGTTTCCCATACAGTGTCGCATGCGTCATAGTAATTTCCGCATGTGATATCAAACCATCACGTGATCGATCAACATCCGCAACACAACAAGTCCAGCGTTACTACTATTGCGACTTAGTACTAACTACCCTACATGCGTAACACACATCTCAACATGTAGATTCTGGTCATCCTGCAGTATCAACACTGCAGCCATATGGATCAAGGTAATAACCTGATGCACACTGTAGACTTGTACTGATACCACTTTGCAGAGTATCAAATAATCGGATATCCGTCTTAGGCCTGCCCTGGTTGGATACTTGAGGATCAGGACTGGTAGCAGGTGCGTTCACTATGTCCTTTATATGTTCCAGAATGTTAATTACCTATGTAGGTCTGTACTGTTCTCATGGTCTGCAGGTGCGCTATGTCATTCTATCTGTATTCTGGTATGCTAATTACCTGTATAAAGCTTCGCATCTCTAGGTACTGCATCATTATACTGTGTAGCTAGATCTACACAGTGAAATATAAATACTCTACTGCTCTTCCACGTTCGAGTCCCTTGAGTCCCTCCGTCCTTTGAGTTCATCTTGTATGGACGACCTTACTTGTTTGGGTTGTGCGAAGTCTTTCGCAACTCAAAAGCGCTTGAGTAGTCACGAAGCTCAGTGTGCTGCTAACAAAACTCTAGATACTGATATTTACAAGAGTCAGCGGCGCCTTGAGAAGGAGAAGCGCAAGAAACAAAAGCGGAGAAGACTTCGGGAAGTGTCTCGGTCGCCAACACTCCAAGAAAAAACTCCCCCCGCTCGCAACTTACCTCCTGCAGATGAGCAGATGGATATTGACGATGGATGGTACAATACTGGCGAGGTAAGGGTATAATATTCTGAAGTTCATGCGCTCATCCTCACTAGGTTGAAAATGATGCACCGGGACCTTCTGATGCTGGTCCCTCTAGCATTGTACCAGATCCACTGGTCGATTCTACTGTCTCTGTCCGCTCTGGTCGATGAATCCGAATGCCGGCGCGGTATATGGATTATATCCCAGGGACGGGAATCCACTTTGCACATATGGCCCATCAGGCTCGTGACCGGCCCTCTGTTCCATCTGCGTCACCACCCCTACCTCAAGAAGAACCAGGAACCCCTCCTGCTGCTGTTCAAGACCAGCCCGCACTCATCCCTTACAAGACTCAACCTGATTCAATGGGTCTCTTCCGCATATACGCGCAACATCCCACTTTGATACTGATCGGAAATGAAGGCCTGGATGCGATTGCTGATGCTCCGACCTTCGAAACTCAGGGCAATTCTCATTTGGAGCGATCTCAGATCGTTCCTGGACTTCCTTCCTCAGATATTCGGCCTGAAGATATTTTTTCTGCGTTCAGTAGCCCAACAGCAGGCCTTCTCTTTTGCTGGCAATACTCTGGATCTAACTCTAAGTCAAATGCTGAAATGAGACACCTTGCATCGGATTTTCTCGATGACGATGAATACAGGAGAGAAGATGCACGAGTTTACGACGCTGTACGTGAGAAGAGGCTTATACAGGACTATCTTAAGGATAGATCTAATCCCTTCCACGTGGAGAATGGCTGGCGCTGTTCTTCAGTCAACATTTGCCTGCCCAAGGAAAAGGAGAAGTTCGCATCAGAAGAAGAAGCTCCAGAAATGGAGATTCCAGGCGTTTATCACCGCTCCCTCACTGACATCATTGTGTCAGTCTTCCAGGACAGTATTTCGGGTACCTTCCACATGACACCTTTCCAACAGCAATGGAACACATCGGAGGAACGCACAATAAACATTTATGGTGAGGCATATTCTTTGCCCGCCTTTCTGGAAGCCTATGAAGACATCAATTCCCTTCCTCGAGATGCTGACGATGATCTTGAGCGGGTTGTTGCTTCGCTGATGTTGTGGTCAGATGCCACTCATCTTGCAAGTTTCGGTGATGCATCTCTCTGGCCGATCTATCTGTTTTTCGGTAATCAGTCCAAGTATACACGAGGCAAGCCAACAGCGTCAGCATGTCATCATGTGGCATATATTCCTACTGTGAGTTGCTTCTCAGAAGATCACCATTTGAATTTGCTTATCAACTTTATGATCTTAGCTCCCAGATCATTTTCAAGACATCTACATCAGTGTTTTTGGCGAGGCGTCTTCAAATGATACCTACACTCATTGTAAACGCGAGCTTATGCAAGCTATCTGGGCACTTTTGCTCGATGACAAGTTCATGCACGCATATAAGTATGGCATCATTATTCGATGCGGAGATGGGATCACACGACGAGTATTCCCTCGCTTCTTTAGTTATTCGGCCGACTATCCTGAAAAGTAAGATTTTCATATCAATCTCAGTATCTGATCTTAATTATGTTATTATGCAGGATCCTGCTCGCATGTATCAAGTTTCTCGGCGAATGTCCGTGTCCTCGTTGCCTGATCAAGAAGGCCGATGTTCCCAAGATGGGAACAAAACTCGACCTGAAGAGGAGGAAGACAAATCAACGGATTGATGATGCATCTCATCGTGATCGTATCGAGCGATCTCGGGCACTTATCTTTCAAAAAGGTGTCGGTATCAACAGCCAACACATCAAGAACTTTCTGCAGGAGGATTCACTTGTCCCTACTCGTGTAAGTGTTGATTAATGCTAGCATTTCATTATAAACTAATGTTGTGTAAGAATGCCTTTTCTGAGCGCCTTGCTGACTTCGGATTCAAATTATTTTTGATGTTCGTTGTCGACCTTCTACATGAGTTTGAGCTTGGGGTCTGGAAGGCCATTTTTACGCACCTTATGCGCATCCTTTTTGCTGCAGGTGGAACGGCTATCCAGGAACTCAATTGGCGGTACGGGTATTATCATTTTGATGCAACTAACTAACTAGTAATGTTCATATGATAGATATCGCAGAGTTCCTACTTTTGGACGAGGAACAATTCGACGCTTCAACAAAAATGCGTCTGCCATGAAGCGCCTTGCAGCGCGTGATTTTGAAGATCTTCTTCAGGTAAGACATCATTAACCCTATCAATATTTGATTGCATCATTGCTTTATTGATGAATTATTAATGTCTAGTGCGCTATTCCAGTTTTTGAGGGACTTCTCCCCTCCAAACACAACAAAATCGTCCTCGATCTCCTATTTGATCTCGCAACATGGCATGCATATGCTAAACTACGCCTACATACTGATGACACACTTGCCTTCTTTGACTCCGCAACAATTGTCCTTTCTCGATCGGTTCGCAAGTTCACGTGCACGACTTGTAAGGATTATCTCACGACAGAACTACCTCAGGAGCATGCTGCCCGGAGTCGTCGACATGCTGCTCTAGCCTCGAAACAACTGGCAGAACCTGCTATAGGGTGGTCAGTGCAAAAAGGGAAGGAGTCTGTGTCCAACGTGAAGGTCAAGAAGTTAAATCTGTATACATACAAATACCACGCGCTCGCTGACTATCCAAATACAATCCGGAGAATAGGTACTACAGACAGCTATTCAACACAGCCGGTGAGTGTCCTATTGATATTTTGAGTTATATACAATATTTAATCTACCACAGGGAGAACTAGAACATCGCAGATCTAAGCGTCGATACCCCCGCACACCGAAGAAGAAGGATCAGATGATCGCCAGCATCGCATCTCAGGAGGCTATTGAACATCTTGTGGAGAAGGTGATCGGCGCACGTGCAGTGCATCAACAGAATCCAAGACCTCCACGTGTCCGAATGGCTCCCTCTGATCACTATTCAATTGCTAAGTACGCTCGAGCAACTGATGATCTCACAGCCTGGTTAAGTGAACGACCAGATGATCTTATTTTTGAGGTGCCTTTATTTGTTGATGTGTTTAAGTATAGCTTCACTAATTTTCTTAGGATTTCATTCCGCGACTCAAAGACCATCTGCTTGCTCGACTTCGTGGTCTCACATATGACGGAGATGAACACAATTTCTCCGATGCTGATCGCGCCTCAGTCCTGTTCACCGACAACAAACTATATCACCATAGTATTTTGCGTGTAAACTACACGACGTATGACCTGCGACGCGAACAGGACACTATTAATCCCCGTACTCGTGCCGACATCATGGTTCTCTCCCACGAAGAGGAGAAGACTCACCCTTATTGGTATGCCCGTGTGATCGGGATCTTTCATATCAATGTAGAGCACCGTCAAGACAACACTGGATTATACTCACGCCCAACTCGAATGGAGTTCCTGTTTATCCGATGGTTCCAACGGGATATTTTGCCTGCAGGTTGGGCTGCAAAACGACTGCACCGGCTTGTGTTCTTTGATGAAGACAACCCCGATGCATATGGATTCTTGGACCCAGACTCCGTCATTCGTGGGGTACACTTAATTCCAGGCTTTGCATATCCTATCGATCCCGAAGATCTGAAGTCTGACTGCCGCTTCTATTATTTGAATATGTGAGTACTCGTTGTTTTTATTCGCACCATTTAAGTCTAACATGATTATTATATTAAAGATTCGTAGATCGAGATATGTTTATGAGGTACCGTGGCAGCGGAATTGGCCACAAGGCTACATGGGACTGGAACGATACCCTTCAGTACGAAGGTCATGGAGCAGAAGAAGTAGAAGAGGCCGATGAGGGCAGGCGTCCGTGTCATTTTGATGCAACAATTTGCTGCAGTTGCAGCGCTGCAGTGATGCATCAACGCTACAGTGGGGAGCAAAGCAATAGTGATGCATTACTGATGCATTATTGATGCCTGGAATGGCATCAGTAATGCATCAGTAATGCATCAGTACTTAATGCATCAGTAACGCATCAGTACTTAATGCATCAAATCAACAATTCTCAAAAAAGGGAAGCATCCCACGCTCGTACATGATCAACAATACCTCCCAGTATGGTCCACATCCCGCCGCCACCTGGTCACCTCCATACACTCCACACAGATCCTTCTGGCAGCCCCGCCATCAGTATCCATCAAACCATCAAAAAAGGGAAGCATCATACAGTTGTACATGGTCGATATGGGTCCACATCCCACTGAAAATATTCTAGGACGCGAGCCAACATCATACGTCGCTCGTCTTCGTCCATTTTGGCACGCGCTTGGACCTATCTCCCCTTATCGCTCGGATCCTTCAGACTCCCTCGACTCTGATCTTCCCCTCGACTCTGATCTCTCGGTCTCGCTGTCCAACACATATAATGTACTACTAGTTTACACTCTGGACCTTCGGAGATTGATTGTAGTATGTACACCTCGTATCTCATAAATTTCAGTCAGTTAGCTGTATTCTACCTCCAGCGAACCTTACAAGTACAAGCGCACTCGATATACCACTTATTAAGGGGATTAAATTGACGACACAACTGTATTCATCACGAGAAAAACAGAGACTACATGTGTTACTAACAGCATCAAACATTACTATGGTACGAGAAGCAAATTTGTGATCATGACATAAAGACATGGGCTCATGCCTTTGTTCGCCTTTTCCTGTGTCCATTAGCATTGAGAAAGTGAGAATATACTAAGATGTCTTGGACGTACTTTGCAGGAATCACGCTGCCCATAGTCAAGTTGGGAGGACGCTTCATCATTGATGCCCCGACATCCCCCAGAACAGGTGGATCTTCCCTACCAATGCCAACGAACGTCGAACCACCTGACCCGATAGTGTCAGCGACATCATTCCGCCTGGACTTGATTGGAATTCGCTTTGATACACGAGGAGCTGCACCGATATCAACCGCCGGATTCCGTTTCGTGGCAGTATTGGGGGCAGTCAAATGACCCAGCGTATTGCCTTCGTCAGCAGTAGCGTGCGATGTCTCTGTTACCGCACCAGACTTGGTGAGAGGTTTTGCTTTGGGTTTGGCCTTGGGTTTGGCTGTGTTCATGGGCGGCGTGATGGTGGGGGTGGGTTCTATAGCAGGATTGCAATTGACTTTGGCAGCCGGGAGCTTCAACTTGTGCTTGCGCTTAGACTTAGGAAGACCAGCACCAGTATGAATGCTGTCAAGGTCTTCTGCGCTGTCATCTGCAGGATGATTTGCTGCCGGAAGAATGGGCGACTGACGAGTAAAGTGAGGAAGAACCTCATCCTGTTCAGCTGTGGTGGTGGTGCGCTCGGCAGAAATTGGGGAGCTCAAGAATGAGGACAGGCTAGGCATCTCCCACCCCTGTGAATCAAGGTTGCTAAAATTCCACATCGTGCCATATCGCGTGTCGTGTTGCATGTCATAGTATCCTGGTACAGTACTCCTAGCATCGGTGAGTGAGGGTGCAAATGAGCTGAATGCCGGGGGGAATGGATTCGGCATGGTGCTACCGCCACCCAAAAACCCCATCGCTATAAGATCAGCATGAGAAAACGATGACCCGAACACCTCGTTCATCCCATCCACACTAGTTGGATCGGGAGGCAGTGTACTAATGTTGTGCCAATCGAATGATGCGTGAAGTTGAGCCTGCGCAAGTGATGCATCAGTTTGGGCTTGTCCGAATGGTACATTAGATTGGGCCTGTGTCGGAAAACTGTTAGATGACATAGGCAGGATGATGAAATGGCCTTACCTCGGAGTTAGACGTGGATTGATCAAGTTCATTGAGTGATGCATCACTGATGCCGGCTTTGGTATTACCAAAGCCTGACAATGCATCAGGCTCGGCCTGTTCGAATGATGCATTAGATTGGGCCTGTGTCGAAAAACCATTAGATGACATAGGCAGGATGATGAAACGGCCTTACCTCGGAGTTAAACACGGATTGATCAAGTTCATTGATTGATGATGCATCACTGATGCCGGCTTCGGTATTACCGAAGCCTGACATCATTGATGCATCAGAGGAAGTAGCGAAGCCTATCAATGATGCATCAGAAGTTGCATCAGGCAGGCACGAAACAATATAAAGACCTGGAATATTCCAATCCATGGAACCATCGCATCCTCCATTCATATCCTCTTCACCATTGTCGCATCCTTCAAGTTCTTCAATCTCATTGCCATCTCCAACACCTGGCAGTAGTGGATCGCGCTTGTTCGCAGCTGATGGACGAGTATCGGGGTGAGTCTACAGTGATTTGGACAGTAAAGATCGGCTTACGGAATATCAACTCAGCGTATTGCTGGTATGCCGCAAGGAATGTGTTGTCCTTGTCAGGGCACAATTGAGAAAAATTACTCCCAGCGGGAGTTTCTGATGGATGGCACCTTAGTAGTGTGAGTTCATTAGTCATGTTTCTAGTTTGGTGCACTTACGATAATGAAACGATGTCCCAATCGTGCCTCGGCTCTGGTCCAGCGCACATGAAGGAGACTATGAATCGAGTTTTTTTCTTGATGAGACGTGCGAAGCGCTGGCATATGATTGGTAAGTCATCGATAGCTCTATAGGTCATGTGAGTATATCAAAATCACAAACATAAGCCAGTACTTACTTTGCGATAGCGTCAGCGTCAGTTTCATCGTTGTCATCTTCATCGTCTAACACGACCCTCTTTACCTTTTTCTGTCTACTATACCTCTCTCTCACTTCCTCCTTAACCTCGTCTGACTCGTCTTCCAGGAGCTCCTTGCAAAACCTTCGGCTCAATGCCATGCGCTGGCCAGCTGTACTTATGTTACCTGCCTCTTGTTCGGCCTTGACGAGAGGCTTGATGCGTTCACTATAGACCATGTCCATGTATATCTCTTCAGTGGATTTCGCGCGTGACTTCGGTACCAGTGCCGCTTCGAAGACGGACGTGTCCTTCTTCAAGCCGCGGTTTTTCTTGGATGCATTCGTCCGCCAACGAAACCAAGTTTGTAATTGCTACCAGAGGCCTTAGTGGTCATAAATTGTCAACACATTTGACGACTTACAGCTTTACGTGAATCCACAGCATCAGTTTCTGCGGTTTGTTGCTCCTTTTCTAACATTGTTTCATTAGCGATACCAGGGAAGAGGATAGCTCGCTCGGGCCATCTGCTAAACCAATAAAGATAGATTTTTGGCTAGAAGAGCGTGTATTCTTTGTCCCCGTCGTGGATTGCAGTATACTCCCGGAACTGTTCTTGGAGCCATAGGTACTGTTCCGTAGTAGTCCACTTAGCTGGCAGCATCTGGCAGAGAATTTTCAGTCATACGCCATACTAATAGTGGAGCCGTCATACTTTTTTTCGCTTTGCACAATGATAGACGAGTGTGTCCCTTCACAACGTCTATGTCCGTCTTTATATCGCTCATTGCCAAACAACAGATCAACATCGCCCATTGAAAAAAAGGAAGCTAATTTAACGAACTTACTACATGATCCGATCACAAGGCAACTTTTCATTCCGTGACTGATGATGGTTTAAATGAACAGCATGGCATACTATACTCTCATAATCAGATAAGTTCACAACATCGCATTGAGAGCAAGCGGGAATTACCTGGACATTGAACGTTGAACGTATAAGTTCAGAATATCACACAATTGAGAGCAAGTGTGAAATCACCTGGACAGTGGACGTTGAATGTATGAGTTCAGGACATAGCACAATTGAAAGCAAGCAGGGAATCACCTGGACATTGAACATTGAACGTATAAGTTCAGGACACCGCACAATTGAGAGCAAGCACTAAATCACCTGGACATTGGATGTTGAACGTTCGAATCTTTAGCAACGAACATATACTATACTCTTATATTCAGATAAGTTCAGGACAGCGCATTGAGAGCAAGCAGAGAATCACCTAGGCATTGATATGGAAGGTTGAACATCGGAAATAGAAATATGAAAGGTGATTGATGTTTGAATGTTGAGCAACAAACATATACTATACTCTCATATTCAGAACATCGCATCGAGAGCAAGGAGAGACCCACCTGGACGACATTAGAAGTTAGTGGATACAGGAACCAGTCCAATGCAATGTGCAATAGCGTGTGTGATAGTAGTTATTGACCCGGAGTGTTTGCAACATTGAGTTCCAACTTCCTAGGCATTGATGTGGAAGGTTGAACATCGAAATCGAAATCCGAAAGGTAATTGAATGTTCGAGTGTCGAGAAACAAACATGTACTATACTCTCATTCAGAACATCGCATCGAGAGCAACTAGAGACCCACCTGGACGACATTAGAAGTTAGTAAATACAGGAACCAGTCCAATGCAATGTGCAATAGCATGCGTGATAGTAGTTATTGACCTGGAGTGTTTGCAACATTGAGTTCCAGCTTCCTAGGCAATGATATGGGAGGTTGAACATCGGAATTGAAATCCGAAAGGTAATTGAACGTTCGAGTGTTGAGAAACAAACATGTACTATACTCTCATTCAGAACATCGCATTGAGAGCAACTTGAAGGAGAGAATCACCTGGGCATTGATACCAGTCCAATGCAATGTGCCATAGCGTGCGTGATAGTAGTTATTGACTCGCAGTGTTTGCAATTAGTACTATATGATTGACGTATAATGAGACCATTTTGGCTGAAAGTTTGTGTGTCTTGCTTGCCAATTGCGGTAACAATGCAAAGCCATACTCAGTCAGCGCTTCAGCCTTAATTTCATCACACACCAAAAGACTGGCAACTCGACACTGCTTGTTCTTACTGCAAGAGATATTCAAATGCAAAGTGCGCACTTCTCTCTCTGTTCTAGCTACTGATGTGTACCAAAAGACACAGTAACTGCGCCGTCATCATCAGCAAGAAGAACAAACCAAAATATGATCAACTTGAAGAGCGCCATTGGTATGTTTCAATCCATAATGAACATTACAAAACCATCTGACCAATGTCAGTGCTTATACCCCCACCCAAAATCAGTTGAAGACTTTCACAAAAACATTGGTAGTACCATTGATGACGACTGGGTCGTCCTCAGGGACGAGATTGATTTTGGCAAACCGTTGAGCGAGGGACCTGCTGCTTGCCCAGCACCCAGACCACAGGAAGAGCTTGCGCCCCGAAGGCAACCTCAGAGACCTCTTGATACGTCATCCAACCGTTGGGAGACCTTTCCACTAAGGATTCGACCAGCATGAGCGGTGAGTCGCACTTTACTGATAATTTGACAACTTTATATCTAACTGTTACATCAAACAGGACCTTGCAGATGTTGAAATGGTACGATGCACATTATCGTCACTGTATGTCAAAATCTCACACTGTCTATTGACAAGTCCTCCAGTGACTGGTCAACATTCTCGGTGTTGTCGCAAAGAACCCGAACAATCCCAATTTCAACTAGGTCGACATCTTTAGTGTCATCGCAAAGAACCCGAGCAGTCCCAATTTCAACCAGTACATGTTCGCCTCGTACTAGGAATCCTGGCCGCCACTTGCGTTCTGCTCATGCATGTCATGATTGACCTACAGGGTATACTTCACGCGGTGAGCTACTATACCATACTGCTCCTGATATCAATATTTTGTATTAATCATAGAGATGCATCAGTGATGCATCAGTGTTATATACAGTGACTCATACTGTCTGAAAATGTCATACCGATGATTCCAAGCGCTGGAAATTGATTTCCAACAACACCGTTTAGGTCTAAGCAAATTTTGATATCAACATTAATGTCCGGGGTGAGTGCACCACTATATCATTGGTAGCAGTTCATAAGACTGACCCAAAAACTACTGTAACTACCACCGGCGATTTTCTCTAGAACTTTACATCGACCGAGCGACTGTTAAACCAGAAATACTACCACCGTGTCAATGTTCATGATGCAGGGTGAGTCTTTCACTATTAATGGGGGCATTTCTGAGGACTCATCCAAAAAAACATAGCGTCTTTCAGTTTACCCACTCCCAGGATACCTCTCAATGCAAGATCCACCGATCCCCTTTGGCTCGATATTACCATGACGCCCTACATGGCCGAACCCGAGGAGTTTGTGACTGTGCATGAGGGCAGTTTAGAGTTTGAGGAGGCCGTGAACGCTATGGCAGAAGAGTGCTTTTTATACTCTTATCAAGGAATATTCTATAATATGCCTTCACAGCGCGATCTAGAACCCCCTTTTTATTGTGTTACTCAGGGCCGCTACATCGGAGTTTTTCCATCACACATCTGGTGAGTTTTCACATTTTCATTCATCTCTTTTATATGTAACACTTGCCATAGGGATGGCGTGAAATTTGAACTCCGGACACCAGGCAATCGTGTTGCTACGTACTTTACTGTTCGGTCACTTGTCCTGGGAGAACAGAAAGTTCATCGTGCCATCCGACGTAGGCTTGCAGCAAGCAGGTGACACACTAGTAGGTTCGATACCATACTTCGTTTGGTAGCATTGGTTGACATCTCAGTGCCAGCTTCAAGGCGTCATTGCTGTTTGGACATCATTGCTGGTGAAAAATTCATTCCAGCCCTAATCATGTCTATCTGTGGCATCGTGTTTGGTTTGCACCGCTCTGCCCATCGTATCTCCATGCATCAATCTCATTTGTTAGTCTTCGACTACCTATTCATGTCCATCGTGTTCATTTTCTGCTAAATGAATGCTTGATTTTTTTTCTCGTAGCGACTCGAACCGTAAATGTGAGATCAGTATGGATGAATACTCTTCGTTCAACACCGTGACAATCAGTGCAGAAATCAACAAAGAATGTCTACAGATCCTACTTGTGCTGTCGGCTCTTCTGAGGCAGGGACATCTTCAATCCAGACAATATACTGTGAAGTAACGTCCAGAGTACCAAAGAAACGGAAAAAGAAACCCAAGCTCAATGTTTACCACTCAGTCCCAGTCCCTTCTCGCCAGCATACTGAATACCAAGCTCATCAAGACGGGTCCATCACCTATACACTGAAGCGTCTCAAACCTCCCAAGAATGCTCAAGCAACTATCGATAATCGAACTCGCGCGACAATGACTCTGCATGATGCGGCACCATTGTCAATCCCTGAGCCATTCGATGACCTCCCGCTGTCATGCATGGTATGTGATTCATACCATGTCAGATATATATAGAGAGTGATAAGGAAGATATGAGAGACTGTCTAGCCCTCTGTCACTGAGTTACCTTTCTATTTTTCCTTTATTTCATTGTCTTGTATTTTATTTCTCACTTTTCAGATTTATTTTACCTTGTATTTTTATGAGCATGTGACCTTCTGTTTATTTCTCATTATTTATTTTTATTTGGCTACTTTCAGCCACAGATTTGTTTGTCAAAGTTTTGTATCTCTATTTATTTCTGACTGTTTATTTTTATTTGGCTTCTTTCAGCCACCAGATTTTATTTGTCAGCACATCATGTGACTGGGGAATATTCTGGTTTGTAACATTATTTAAGCTGACTCAACATGTTTAGTCATGATTGGTCATGCTTTGTAACAACATTCACATGACTCATCATGTTTTGTCATGATTTGTCATGCTTTGTAAATTCTTTGTAAGATTACACTGTATTTGTAATGTACTTAGTAATAAGCTGATTCATCATCTGGTTTGTAAGCCACATTCTTACCAATCCATCTGATAAATCATGCTTAGTAAGGGGGTTCCCAAAAGGTATAAAAGGACCCCATTTTCACCCATAAAATATAACTTCCCATTTTTCATTCTTCTCTCAAACCGTGTGAGAGTACGTAAGAATAAAAGTGCAGGCAACGTGCCTTGAAGTAAGACTAAGACACATCGTTATTCTATTCTAAAGTTATATACTACCTTACAGGGGTTGACTATATAACTTTCGTTATCATTATTCTACTCTAGGTTATACACTACCTTACAGGGGTTGACTATATAACCATCGAACAGCTCTCATTCTAAGCTTTACGTGTATACATAAGACTCTCTCTTTCAACGGAAAGTGAGACACATATCTAAGGACGACAAAGTTGAAACAGACTTTCATAGGTTGAAACACGACCTACTAGGCTGAAACAAACCTAACGAATTTATCCAGAACACAGAACATTCCACAACACTTTGTATCAGACTACACAAGAAGAGGACAACAAACTAAATCCTCCCAAGAACTCACCACGTTACCTCCCACGAAGTAGAAAAGTCGGAGACCGTGGACTTAAGGACTGGCAAGAAGTCTTCCCTGTGTATAATTGTGTTGTCATTATACACAACTTTTATATAAGACCCTTAAGTAACAAGACATCACTGGAGCCCACCGCGAGGGAGGCTTCTTCTTGTACCAAACATAACACAACAATCGTAAACAAAGCACACTTCGTATAAATCATTCCACCCACACAACAAAACGTCATCAAACATATTTAAACACCACAAAGAAATCACAACAATCGTAAACAAAGCCATACTTTGTATAAATCACTCCACCCACACACCACAACATCAACAATCATATCAAAGCAACACAAACAAAAGTCAAACATGACTACACGATCCGTATTAACATTACCTAACCCTGGAACTAAGGCAGCACCTGCCAAATTCAAGGGTGGATTTTCAGAAGTCAAGGACTTTCTAAAACACTATGAAAAACTGTGTGATTATCACAATGTAACCTCTGATGAGGAGAAATGTGAATCTATTACCCAGTACATGTCCCGTCACGTAACAGAATTTGTAGAGGGACTACCCAGTTTCAGATCAAATAACTGGAGCAAACTCAAGGCTGACATTCTGAAGTATTATGATGCAGACCTTGACACGAAGCGATATAGACGCAAAGATTTATTGTCCTATGTAAGGACAACACGAGGAAAGAAAATCCCTACACTCACTGCTTGGAAGAAGTATGTGAGAGGGTTTATTCGTATTGCAGGATGGCTTGAACAAGCCAAGAAATTAACAAGCGAAGAATATGCAAGTTACTTCTGGGAGGGGATTTATAAGAAACTCCGTATTAAAATTGAAACACGCCTCATGGCAAAGGATCCAGACAGAGATCTATCCGAAGCCTTCCCAGTAGACCGAGTTATCGCAATAGCAGAGAAATTGCTACACCGTGACCGGTTTGATGCAGACCTATTAGTTTCTGAAGTAGAGACCGAGTCTGAAACTGACTCCTCAACTGAAGAAAACTCTGATGCCAATACAGACTCAGAGTCTAGTGAGTCTGAAACCGAGTTTTTTCGTAAGAAGAAGAAGGCCCCAGAGCCAAAAGATAAGAAAGTAGTAAAGAAAGCTCAAAAGAAAGCAAAAGGACATGTCAAGGAAGCCAAGGCTAAGACTTCCTCAAAGGATACTAAGAGTCCTGGTATCACTTCACCAGAACCTATGGATGAAATGGAGGGACTCATCAAGAGACTTAATGCAATCTCACTCGATGACCCAGACTATGCTCTGTATTACTACAGGGCAACACGAATTGATCCTACCATCAAAGATATGATAGCAGCCCCTATTTTGAAAAGAGGTAATGCTACCCAAGGAGAATATAAGCCTTACAACAATCAAAATGGACAAAGTAATGTAAGGCAAAACAATAATGCAAATCAGACATTCAGAGGACCACAACCAGGTACTAGGTTCTATCACCCACCAAACACCCCTTTCAATGAACGAACATGCTTTGGTTGTGGCGAAAAGGGGCATGGCATTCCAATGTGTCCACAAATCAATAAACTAATTGCTGACGGTAAACTCCAACGTACACACCGTGGGCAAATCGGAAAACCAGATGGAAGAGCCGTAAGACGGTTACCTGAAGAAACGATTATTGAAGCACTAAAGCGAGAGGACAGTGTGCCAGTAGCTCACTTTATTAAAGTGAATAGTGGAGATGCACAAACCTATAGTGCAAATAAGCAAAATAAATTTCAAGAGTCTAGGACTGCATACATTGAAGAGTATGTGAGTTCTGATAGCAAAGATAGTGACACGGACGATTCAATCAACCGGCACGAAGAGACTGATGAAGAAGAAAGTGATACAGATGAAGAAACATATGCATTCCCGGTTGAAAGGGTCACACGAAACTCCACACAAGGAAGACGTGAAAGATTTGAGGAGGTATTCCCTCCAGGTCAAAGCAAAAATCTAAGGAAACCAAGTGAAAAAGATAAAGGAAAAGATAATGTTCCCACCACTCAAGCCAAAAAGGCTGATACTCATACCAAACCTAAATCCACACAACCCGTTCCAACCACAAAGACAAAGCCTGCAAATAAGAAAGAGACAGGAAAAGGTCTAGATAATGGGTGGGATAGTGAAGACATTGTCATGGATGATGTGGATGAAAGGAAGATCAACGAGAAACACCCAAAGACCAATGAAACACCTTACAAATCAACCCCAAACTCGGATCGTAAGAATATGACAACACGTCAACGCGTCTCCGACATAGCAGCTAAGATTAAGCCAGAGAAAATTCTTGAAACAGTATTGAGGACTCCTATCCGACTTGAGGTAGGAGAGCTTCTTGGCACCTCTCGTGAGCTTAGCGGAATCCTCGCTAATGCTATTAAACCGAAGTCCTTACCTAATGACTCAAAGATAGAAGCACATTCGGTATGGACAAAGACACGCGGGCTATTAATCAAAATAGCTATGCATTGTGACGGTCAAGCAATTAACGCAATAATTGACACGGGTTCACAACTCAATATCGTAAATAAACACGTCTGGAAGACTATTATTAATAGGCCTATTGATATTGCCAAGTCAGTATCTATGAATGACGCAAACGGTGGTGAAGGCAAACTTCGCGGATTGGTACAAAATGTTCCACTAGACTGTGGAGGAGTTAGTACTCACACGAATTTGTTTGTTGGCGATCACGTACCATTCAGTCTATTATTAGGTCGTCCATGGCAAAGAGGAAACTACGTCTCCATTGACGAAAGAAAGGACGGGACGTGGTTATTATTCAAAAATCCACTCGATTTAGAAGTCCGTTATGAACTTCTATGCACTCCTGACGGAAATGATCCTAATTGGGACTTTGAACCGTCCACTTGGGTCAGTAATATGGGCGAAACAACCATGTTTTGCGAAATTAATGAAGAATTGCCAAATTCGGAATTTAGCGCGTGAAACTCTAAACTCAAAAATCACGTGACTAAACTTTTGCAAAATGATCTCCGTGCCGAGAATTTTATTGGTAAGAAATTTATCAGCAAAGGCCGGGATCAGTCAGCCAAAATTGAAATAAAAGATTTCTCAAAAAGCATAAAAGAAGCGCCAGAACCAGCGCTACGCCCAGCGCCCACTAGCCTCGTGTCTGAGAAATACAGCGCGAGGCATCCAGAAATCACACACACATCCATTTTTGGTAATCTATTGCATTTTCGGAAGATGCCGGAACACGTGTTCGACAATACTCGCGCCAAACTGGCCGATTTCCTTTTTGAGAATCCCGGCAATTTCCGGTTCAGCACTTCCATTGAGAATGATGCGCTCACACTTTCCTTCCACGCTACTGCCTTCTCCCCACCTGCCGGCAACGACCAGCTTGACATTCCCTCTCCCTCTTACTCTCCCGTGCTCTGGGAGGAGTCATCTCTGGACACGGACGATCCTGTAGAGGGCACTGGAGTTGGAGATTTTGTTGGAAGGGAGGGTACGTCTTTTTCTATCTTTGATTATATTCAAAATCTAACTAATCAAAACACTATCTCATATTCACCCCCTCCTCGACAATCCTTGGCCAACGCCAATGCTAATGTTATGCGCGGCACTTACGCCAACACCAACACCAACCTCGCGCCACTAACGCCAATGGCGCTGCTCTCTGCCCTCGCGCCACCAACGCCAATGGTGCTCTCTGCCCTCGCGCCACCAATGCCAATGGCGCTGCTCTCTGCCCTCGCGCCACCAATGCCAATGGTGCTCTCTGCCCTCGCGCCTCCAACGCCAACGGTGCTCTCTGCCCTCGCGTCCCCTCCCAATGCCACCTTTGGGACGGCCGCCACCATCCTTGCACCCAACGCTACCTTTGGGACGGTTGGCACCATCCTTGCACCCAACACTACCTTGGGCACGGCCGGCACCATCCTTGCACCCAACACTACCTTGGGCACGGCCGCCACCATTCTTGCACCCAACGCTACCTTGGGTACCGGCGCCACCATCTTTCCACCCAACGCTACCT